CTGGGGATCGGCTGCGAAGCCGACTCCCCATTTGTGAGTCCATCACATCTGACCGGTGGGTATTGTCCATCGTTCAGCACGGCTGTTGGATAGAATTCAACATCGTTCCTCCATCGAGTCTCATCCGGTTTACATCATGTTTGCCAGTATTGCTCGATGAAATACATCAGCTTCTTCGTAAAGGAGCGATCCGTCAAGTATTCCCATCTGACGGACTTCACGGATTCTATTCCAGATACTTTACGGTCCCGAAGCGGGATGGTGGTTTACTTCCGATTTTGGACTTACGTTATCTGAACCGATTTATTGTACCGAAGAAGTTTTGGATGAGCACCCTTCAAAACATCTTGCCGTTGCTAAGGAAAGAGGATTGGTTCGCCTCATTGGACCTGAAGGACGCCTATTTCCACATTTCGATCCACCCAAGTTATAGGCGTTTCCTTCGTTTTGCTGTTGCACCCCATCTTTATGAGTTCCTTCGTTTTGCTGTTGCACCCCATCTTCAAACACACTTATTCCATCGTTCTTGCTGCTTTCTGAAGCAGTTCTGGAAGTCCTCTTTCATGAGTGCCTTTAATTGGGCTCCCATGGCTGCCTTGAGGTTCTGAAAAGGGTGCACACCAGCATGGAGGTCCCAGATGGGTTGCAGCTCCATCCCATTGCACACGAGGGACCACCATTTCCCCCTCCATTAGGGGGGGGGCACTCCTTGGCAAGCTCTTCCTCTGCACAAAGGATTGCCGAAGCGTCTTCACTGCCTTCACAAACAATGAGCAGGAAAAGGAATAGGCACGTGAGCATGCAGGGAGCATGCCAAGGCACTACTGTACTACCAACCAGGTATTCCAGTCTTGTCTTGGTTTTTAATTTCCACTTGACGTATTTTATTTTTGTAATTTACTTTCGAGTTATATGTGAATTAGTGTTTTTAAATACAAGAAAAAAAGTCTATTCATTTATAAAATTCTAGACACTGGGACCATTGAGTTTTATCTTGTAAATCAAAATTGTTTTCCTACTTGTAGCAGTATCTGTCTAGAACAAGAATACATTTATCAAAGCCCTTGTTTCTAGTCCAGTCCAGATTATATTTTGACTTTTTATACTGTGAAGTCTATGAATATAATACTTATCAAGGTATTCAACCTCTGTGGATCCCTAATCTCACCCACTGAACTGGGAGAGTTACAGTTCTATTCCTCTGTATTTTCTGCTCTGTACAGAATCTTTCCTCCTCCTGGTACCACATCTTTGGTCAGATAAGTGAGTTTACTTTTGTTGATGTGTCTACTTAATTCACAAGCAACTCCTGTAAAATTATTTCCAGTAATTGATTTTTATCCTTGTTATAATATTCTTATAATTATATTCATAATGAATTAGAAACCTATGAATTATAGGAAACTTGATAATTTTAAAGAGCTAAAACTCACTTTAATCTTTTAAAGCAAGTTTCATGCCTACGGAATAGTTATTAATAAAAATGTAACCTCTCTGTTTGTCAGATAACATCAGCTGTGAGCCAATACACTCTACTGGTGCTTTCCAGTACTCTGTAACAGCCTGGCTTTAATAATGTGCATCTGCTTGTTAGATCTATTCAGGTCCACTCAGTTAGGTTTTCGTCCCTGATGAAACGTGACACACATTGACCAAGGTGATACATAATCTCAGTTTTTGTTTCAGAATACAAGCTTGTGTAACTGATTTTTCCTCCTTTTGTGGTTATTTCTTTTTTTTCTCCCCGATTTATATCCTGCCTTTTTCCTACAAAGGGCTCAAGGCAGCTTACATCCTCCTCCTTCTCCATCTTATCCCCACAACAACGACCCTGTGAGGTAGGTTGGGCTGAGAGTCTGTGACTGGCCTAACGTCACCCAGTTGGCTCCATGGCCGAGCAGGGACTAGAACACAGATTGCCTGAGTCACAGTCCCAGGCTCTTAACCACTGCACCACCCTGGCTCTCAAGCTGAAGCTTTCATACATGGCTAGGTCCAAGGTGGACTTCAGCAAAGTGTCTACTGGTGGGTAATGGAAACAAGTTTCTTTCCCAAGCATATTAGTTAGAAGTTATATAATAAGAGTCACCGTGGTGTAGTGGTTAGGAGTGCAGGAATGGAACTCAGGAGATCTGGGTTGTAGTTCCTGCTTGGTCATGGAGCCAGCTGGGTGATATGGGGCCAGTCACTGACTCTTAGCCCATCCTACCTCACAGGATTGTTGTTCTGAGGAAAAAATTGAGAGGAGTAGGAGGGTTGTGAAATATGCCTTGAATTTCTTGAAAGGAAAAAAGGCAGGATAGAAATGTGATTGATTAATTTAATTGATTATAGAGCCTTCTCAGTTCATTTGTTATATTGCCTTTGCTTCTGTTTGAAAGATGTTTTCATTTCTAGATACATATCCAAATTATCAGCAGTTTGCTTTTCTTGCTTTGGGTTATTGACAGGGCAATCATATGTATGTCTACATAAAAGTAAGTCCTATATCTCTCAGGAAAGTGTTTATAAGGTTGAAATATAAGTGTGATAATTGATTTTTAAATGAGATTTTAAAAGAGTAATAGATGAATTGTGCAATTTGTTAGCCTCATGGCACAGTCTCATATTTGTGTCCCAAAGGGTATCCTTGCTTGAGATAAGGAAAGCATTAACAATAGTGTCTTTTGAAAAGGTAATGAGTGTAGCTGATACGGTAAATCAACTACACATATAGTTTGACATTTGCCGTTAGGAGCCTTCCCCAACCTAGTACCCTCCAGCTTTGTTGAACTGCACCTCTTATCATCCAAGCAGCTTCAGCCAAAGTTGGCAGTCAGAACTGGATGTTCTATGGAGAAGGATTCATGAGACAATGCCCAGTTCCATGATGTGCCCATAATCCTGTATGCATCCTAGCATGTCTGACAAAAGATTGCGCCGAATCCTCTCAAGGTTTTGCTTGTGTATTAACATTTAGGCATATGAGCTCCCATTTGTTGTTACTGACTGTACTGTCATGCAACATGTATTGACCTTCAATATCTCACTCCTTCCCCATCAGGGCTTTTTTTCACAGGAGTATATGCAGGCATAAATTCTTATGTCCCTATGAAGACCCTGTGGGTAGCCCTTTAAAAAGAACCAGTTTTGAAAGCTACCTGTCAAACCTTTATGCTTCAAATATTTACTTTATTTAGTTAGTTAATAACATTGAGGAGTTGAGTAATGGAGGTATATAATTGTCTGGCTGTTAGCTTTACTGGGTTTGCAGCTTTCTTGATTATCAACTGTTCAGGAACATATGAGTATGTAATTTAAAAAAAATGTTGTGTTGTATGTAATCCACCACTGTGTGTTTGTAAATAGTATTCAGTGAGTTCAGCACGTTCTTTCAACTTACTTTACAAGTTTGATATGTGATTTTAAATCTGACTGTCAGTAGAAGATGAAACCCAGTTTTCTATCTTTGAAAGGAAACATTCTTTTATCTCTTTTGTGAAGCTCTCATTGCTGAAGAAATGTCTATAAACATACATTACAAATCTTTCAGGGGCCAAGAAGGAGGAAACTAAATGTAGGAAAGAAAAGTTCACATTTATTATCTCATGTTGATAAGTGTTTATACAATCGGAAAAAGCAAACCCTTGGGAACCTCACTGTAAAATAGTCCAGTTGGTTTGAATTAGGATTCCATGTGAAATACAGCTCTTTCTTTCCTTCCCTCACTTTAATTAATGTTGTGGGAAAGTAAACGGAACAAATTCTGAGTGATAGTAGATATCTATAAAGGATCAGGTTTTGAACCCAAACAAAACTATATGTTAAGATGATTGCTCTTATTGAACCTAATTAAATTTGAAGCAGGACTTGGCAGTGTAGTCAGATAGGGGATATGGAATATTAGAGCAAATAAAATCTAATATATTTGCATGTTAGCAAAATACGCATCTTTCTGAGATCTCAAAGCCTATTTAGAATGTTTATTCTAAATTATTTCTGACATTGAACAAAATGCATTTTTAAAGAAGTGATAAGCTATGTACATCAATAATATAACACATTTTTATAAGTGATGTGAAGGGAAGGATGGTTTTAGAAAGAACAGTGCTCTTTTGTTTTATGATAAAGAAAAGGGCTTGGCTTTTTAATTTTTAATTTTTCTTCTAAGCATTGCATTCCAGAGCAGTCTTAGTGAGAAGATCCATTTATATATAAAATTTTAGTTCAAAAACTTAAGCTCAGAGCTCTACTTCTTTTCTTTACACATAATTATGTTCACTAGTCCCTATATAAGTAGATCACTTTCAGTTCAGTTCTATCCATGTTGACTCAGAAGTAAGTTCAATTGGTATTTTTAATTGGTTTAATTGGTATTTTTTCCATGTGCAACATTGGTATTTTCTAATCTGGACCTTTGGGATGCACAGTAAAATAGAAGTAACCGAGCCCTAAGCCCAGTGAGATCAATGGTCAAAGCTCAAAGCCTTCCCATTTATAACTATTACTTAGATTTAAGACTTTCCCATGTGTTTTACTCGTAACATGATTTACTGTGCAGATACAGACCATCCAATTGCTGCTATTGTCCATGCAAAGGACTGGGCAAAGTACTCATAGAAGAATAGAGTTAGGATTCACTCCAATACACTTTGGGAGTGCTTTGTATTTATCAAAAGAAGCTTCCAGCCTCTGCTTGTATTGCTGCTGCTGTTTACTTGGAGATGAAGATGCCTCATATACAGATGCTAATTTGCTACTTGGTTCTGTACAAACTAATTATATAGCTTTGCATTATGGTATATTGTCATCTCATTTGGAGGGGGTTGGGTGGGAAAAAGATGAAATTTATATATTCTATAACTATCAAAATGGGTATTTATCATATATACTTGACTTTGTATTTGGAACCATTCCAAGATTGTATGAATATTTATATTCATTTCCTTAATTTAATTATGTGAACATCAACAAAATGTAGGAATATAACTGTTTTATTGGATTATTGTTATTTTAACAAGGTGAGCTCTTGGGTGACATGGCTGATTCTGACTGCGGGTTCTATGGAGGAAAAACGAGAAGTCTTCTCCTATGTGGTACATGTGGCAAAATGCTGCTGGAACATGGGAAACTACAATGCTGTTATGGAGTTCTTGGCAGGGCTCAGGTACTTGCAGCTCATTCTTCAAATGATGGAGATTCTGGCATAGATTACATTGCAGCTTCTGTTACATACAGCTGTCCTTTTGCAAAATAAACCATGAACTGCATTAGTCACTGTGCTTAATAGTGTTCTGTTACTAAGTTGCATCATTTATCTTGTCCATTGAGTTTGCGACAGCTTGCTGTTTTGGGAAAATTGAATATGATATATGACAGAGGTTAACTTTGGTGAAAGACAGGTCTTTTCTCAGAATGCTCTAGAGAGAATGCTGTTTATCTTCCTAAAGGATAAACAAGTTAAACTGAAAGTATTAAAATACTTTAAAAAACAATACCAGCTTTCTAATGGAAAGAGCCAATGTAGCAATTAGAAGAAAGGTCATAAAACTTGAGAAAAATGCAGATTACTGCTTGTTAACCCCAAAATGTTAATGAAAAATGGAATAACTTTTTAAACATTTGATTAATAATTTTAATAACACCAGTTATTTATAGGTTATTTCTTATGCTTCCTAAGGCATCCTCTCTTCACTCCCAGGTGTCATGCATGTTGGTGATTTGTAAAAGCAAAAGTGGGAATGAAAAGAAAATTTTTAAAAGAGAGAGAGAGTGGGGAGAGGAGAGGCAAGGTGTAAAGCCTAAGAGATATTATAGTCTGTAAAAGGATCTTCCTCCTTTTATAGTTAGAGGAGATGTGTGTGCATATAAAGGAACTATGAATGCTGCCTGGTTTTCTTACCCTTCATCAGAACAACCACAGCCTTCATTGCAATAAGGCAAACCAGTGAAAGGCAGCGTATCTCATTAGCAATTTGAGATAATTGTACAAAATCAGGAACATTTTAATTATTCACAATGTAACAATAACTTTTAGTAATCTTAACTGCAGGGCTGACAAGACATGTATAAACCTTTAATACAACTGATGGGTAATTATTTTTAAATAAAATTCTACTTTTTTACTGTACTGTATTCTGAATTTCACAGGTAATTCATGTAGCTATGTCTTTCTTCACACATACATGCATTCACACAGTGAACTTTGAATACTATACTTTTAGCATTCTGGACTATTAAAACACGACTTAAAGTTAGTTTATTTTTTCCATATAGGTCAAGAAAAGTTTTAAAAATGTGGCAGTTCATGGACCAATCTGATATTGAAATGATGCGAAGCTTGAAAGATGCTATGGCACAACATGAATCTTCATCAGAATATAGAAAAGTTGTAAATCGAGCTCTGAATATCCCAGGCTGTAAAGTTGTTCCTTTCTGTGGTGTATTTTTAAAAGAACTCTGTGAAGTTTTGGATGGGGCTTCAAGTCTCATCAGACTTTGTCCTCAGTATAACTCACAAGATGAAACACTGGAGGTAAAACTGCTGGAAAAAATTACTAATCTAAAAGGGCTGCAATAATTCTTGCATTTATTAAATAATTGGAGAGTGTGTCATAAGTTGGGCATGTGAACTAGATATTGCAGTTTCAGGGTAAAATGCTACTGTACACTGATCCTAAGTGACTGGAGAACTACACGTTATTTTACAATTTTATTTACAAGCTTTTGTTCTCTGTTAATGTCTATATATTCCTATTCACATAATACAATTCATTACTCAATTTATCACTGCTAGAGTCCTTTTGTTAAGTTTTGGGAACCTAGACTAGGATCCAAAGTCTTGCCTATGTTCATACATAAGTTCTGGGTTCTCTCTGGCTCAGAGAATATTTTTAAAAACCTTTTTTTTTTTTTTTGGGAAAACTGATGCCTGGGGAATGATGTTAGTGGAAAGAAACAAGGTCAGATGTCTCTTAGGCTTTTAAAACTGCTTTCATGTTTTTTTTTCTGGATTCTCTTTTCAGCTTTTGGATGAGCAAGAAAATAATACATTACCACATTATGTCAGTAAAATAGTTTAATAAACTTCATTTTGTAGTTCTTTCCAAACATCACTCTTTCAGATTTACTTATTTATATTTATTATTTCTTTCTAAGAATTCTCTCTTAGAAAGAGAGAGATTGTCTCTCTTAGATTGTCAAGAACAGCAACTGCTGCTGCAGATTGAGCTTAGCTGAAGTGAAGTGACTGATGTAAAAGAATCAGTCAGGCCCTTGGTGTTAAAAGAATCAAGCTCGTGTGGGCCTAGTTATATAACTAGAGTGAACCCGTCACCATTACTTGCCTGAAAGGTTCAGAACTGCAGCCTAAAATGTATTTAGGATCATAATACAAATGTATTGCCCTCATGTTGTTCTTATGGACTGCTGGAGACATCTGACTGACCCCTGTATGAAGCAAAATTTTAGATGAGATAGGACTTTGGTTTAATCAAGCAGGAATTATAAATGAAATGCTTTCTTGTCAAATAATGTATTATTCAGTGCACCATGCTAACTAATATGTGCATAGAATTAAGTGCAATTAAAATGAGCAGTCAAAATGAGCACTGTGTGAGTCTGTGGCCAGAAATGGGAGTTGTGAAGAAACAGATTTCAAGATGTCTGCCCTGTGTGCCGTATTAATCCTGTTTTGGTCAAATCCTGTTTGACCAAAACAGGATTTACCCATTCAACTCAATGGAATCAACTTGTCAAGAGACATGTATAAGATTGTCCTGCAAAAAGATAATTGGCTTCCACTAAGCAGAAAGTAGCATTGCAGAATGATTTGCACTGCCTGCCTTATACAAGATGCTGATGGAGCTACGCTAGCCCTTCTAGTTGCCGCTATATGTATCCATATTTGTTTATTTAAGTTATTTTTAGTCTTTCTTTAAAGCCCATTCAGGGCTGCATGCAGGATAAAAACCATAAGAAGAACCATACAGGATCAGATCAAGTGCCCATCAAGTCCAGCATTCTGTTCAGACAGTGTTCAACCAGCTGTGCATGAGAAACCCAACCAGGACATGAGTGCAACAGTACCCTCCCACCCATGTTCCTCAGCAACTGGTTACATAGGCATACTACTTTTGATACTGGTGGCTGAATGTGTCCAGTACCCTTTTAAATCCATCCAGATTGGAGTTCATAGTTAAATCTCATGGGAGTGAATTTCATAGTTTTGCTATGCACTGTGTACTTATTTTCATCTGTCCTTTATCTCCCACTAATCAGCTTCATGAGATGACTTCACATTCTAGTATTATGAGCAAAGAAGAAATCCTTAAGCATTTTCTCCAGCAAATGTACACCTTTTGCGTGTTTCCTTACCTTTTTTCAAAGCTAAGCAATCCCAAATTGTAACCCTTTCTCAGGGGAGTTGCTCCTATCCACTGATTATTTTAGTTGCCCTTTTCTGTATATGAAAATCTGTATATCTATGCTTTTATAGATAAAGCAAATTATTTATCTAAAATGTATTTATCTAGTTGTGCTTACTGAAACATCAATAATAAATGTTGTGTGGGTTTGCTTGTAGTTTGTTGCAGAGTACAATGGGCAAGATAACTATTTACAACGGATAGGTCAAGATGGCCTACATAATATAGAAAAAGAATCAACAGCTAACTACATTTTTCAAACTATTCGGAGCTGTAATCGCAGCTTGGAAACAGAAGATGGAGAAGATAATTTTATTGAATATGAAGACAGAAATTCCAGAAGAAATTCTTTGAAGGACAAAAATCGTTATCAGTAAGGTTTTAAAGATTTTAATATGTGTGTGCCTGTTCTAAATTACAAAGTAAAAATCATTGTAAGTTTTTTAAACATTCCTATCTATTTCCAGTTTCCTATTAAACAAAATGCAATAGAATAGCTCGCGCTTAGTAAAAACTAAAATTAAAAATAGATCTAATAATAGAGATCTTAGTTTTTTGAGTCCCCCCCCAAAAAAAAAAAATCAGGTAGCTGAAATGGCACCCTAACCATACAAGACAGAGGTATTAGCAGGTCTGAGGAGACCCATGGGTTGCAGAAGTATAAAATACCATGAAGAAAAAAATCCCTCAGTAGGATTCTTCCCATCCCCCAAGAAAGCCCAGTGAGAACTGAGTATGGTATATACACATGGAGTGTTGACTGATTGTTAAGAATGGAAAAAATCCTCATAGAAAATCTGGGATGGAGGAAGAAAAGAATGGTAGTGTCTTCCATCCTGAACAGAGGCTGTCTATGTTGCAACAAGATCTCACTTGTAGATTTCTGTGTTTTGTCTTATATTTCATTTGTGCACTCATTGGTGTGTTAAAAATAAGATATGTTTTAAATAATATTGTAAGCATCTGGATGTATCATTAAGCCATGTTTTAAAGTTGCGAGAATAACCCCAGCATGTCTTGGGATTATACACTCTCACCTCCGTTCCTCCCGTACAGCCATGAAGAGATCAGAAATGTCTGCTGCCACTGTTGTTAAGCCTAACTATGGGTAGTAGAAATGTCAGCCTCATAAAATATGATTCAAAGTTGGTTTGTTTCAGCTAAACTTAGTTAAGATTAACCAAATTTTTCCTAGGTTTGGGTGGTACAACTAGTTGCATTATGTGCTTATATTTGAGGCTTTAATCTTCCACTTAACTGAGGCCTCGGCTTCTCGGTTTTTAGCAGGATTAACTTTCACATTGCTCCACATGCTTTTTCCAGAGGATTTCCTTTTTCTATCCTTTTATATGTTCCCTTACACAACCACAAGATGGCACTTTGGAAAAGCTGAAGTGCATAAAGACATGAGCTTCTCATAGTACCATTCACAAATAACATTAGATTTTCCTCTGCACACACCCCACCATCACACACACATAAATGGTTTCAAAGCATGGAAGAGGTCCTGGAAAATGGAGTCATTGTATAAAGCACCTGCAAACTGACATAAGTAAGGTATTGTAAGTGCACAATGCATGTCTCATGTAGAAAAATCTATACATCTAAGGTAGAAGTCAATGCTTCTGAACTTGTCTTTGTATCCTTGGCAAAAGAGAGATGGGCAATATGAAAACCCAGGAATCAATTAAGTTTATGTCTCAAGTAATGTGTCAGTTTTGTATTGTTTTTTCTATTTTAATGGGGTTGCTATAGCAGAATGATATAGTGACTGAGTACATGTAACTATAATGCAACTTCTCTGGACTAGTTACATTTCCAGAATGTTTTGGAGTTATGTATGAAATCACTGCACTCAAATGCTTGGAAATCCTCTTGTTAAATTTTATGTTCCTTCATGATGTAATTACTTCCAGGCAAACCTTTTTCATCTTGTGCATGAAGCTTTTAGAAACTTACAGATGCAGCTGAGACTTGGTTAGTCATGCCAGGAATAGTACCATGCCATTTTTGTTTATCTTAGCTCAGAACATTATATCCTGCTGGAATAGCATTCTGACCCAGTCAAAATAAAGGTTATTTATTATTGTTCCTAATCCCACTACTTTTAAGGGCATGTTATCTGAGGTTCATAAATTATTTTAGGGGAAGCTTATCAGAGCTAATAAAGTCTTTGCATATTCACAATAGGGCATAGTCATTCTGCACAGGTGTTGTTTTAATTATGAACACATGGGAAAGATCATGTTCACTGACCTCAGATTCCCCACTTCTCTCCGGGTGGTAAGAATACCTCTGAAAGTCCAGAACACTATGCACTTAAATGAAAGTTATGTAAAAGTAGTGATAGATTTATAGGACAATACTAGAAAGATTCTAGCAGAGCTATACATGCAAGGAGACCTATGTCTGCAATTTGTGGTACTTCTTGAGGGTTACTGCTTCAGTGCTGACTGCCTTAATATAAAACAGTTTTTTTGACATGGATGTACAGGACCCAAGTTCAAAATTCTGTTAATGTGTAAGGTCACTTGCCTAAAGTGTTTGTGAAGTTGTTACAATATGGTACTCATAGGAAATTAACTTTCTTTTTATCCCAGCAGTCACTAATTTCCAATAGTAATTAATAAGCTGTTGCACAGGTCACAGCTTATTTAATTAGATATTATTTAATAATATCTGCATATCATTACCATATGTGCTAACGTATAAAGCAACTCACATATAAAATAAGGTTGATATTTTGGACTGTTTTTCTGGTGTTTGTCATGTGTCGGGCAAATAAGCTGACCCCCAATTTTTTGCTTAGCTATTTTCAGTTTCAAGGGTCATCTTCTATGCCATATATACAGTATGTATAATTTTAAAGATTTTATATAATGCAGAGCTAAACAGTTCTTTTATAATTACAATAAAATGATACATCATTATAAAATACAAAATCGGTATAAAGCTCACAAAATATGTTATCTAAAGAAAACAGTAAAAACTAGCAACAATAATATAAAATCATTTGTAACCCCTGGACCGGTATTTACATTGCTCAGTTAAAAAATAAGTATAAATAGTATAAATCTTTAAGACTCATCTAAAAAGACCCAAGGAGGGAACCAGATAAATTTTCTGTGGCAGGGATTTGCCTGGTGATGGGCCACTACTGAAAAGGTCTTCTCTCTTGTGCCCTAGTAATTACTCTTGACAGCCTGATGAAGTGAGCCAGAGATTAGGACATCAGTGGCTGATTTTCGGGGCTAGACCCTTTAGTGAAGGTTGCCCTTCAAATAACCTAGTCCTAAGCAATTTAGGGCTTTAAAAGTAACAACCAACACTTTAAATTGGCTTCAGCATTGGAGCGACAAGCTGTGCATCCAGTACGGAATTGATGTTTTGTGCACAAGTTGCTCAGCCCTTGCAAGCAACCAGACAATTACTGTCTGTAGCAAGTGAAGCTTCTGAACTGCCTTCAAAGGGATTCCCATGTGCAGCATGTTACAGTGTAAACTATAACTAGTACGTGAATAATTCTGCTGTAGTCTGTTTCCTGTAGATATGGCCAGAGCTGTCAAATCAAAGAAAAGTGATACAGGCATTCCTGGCCCCTCCAATGATAGTGTTTAGTTCAGGAGCACTCCCCCACCCGCAAGCTGCTCAGAACTCTTTTCAAGTACGGTGTAACCCCATCCACCATTGATAACATTTCTTTATCCGGACTGGCAGATTTTCCTACCCACATCAGTTCTTCTTTCTCTAGATTATACCTTAGCCCACTGGCCATCATGCATCACAGAAGTGCCTCCAAGCACTTGCACAAAGTTTTCACTACCTTGCTAGGTTTCATAGCTGATGAAAATGATGAGTCAGAAGCATACTAATGCCATGCTATCCAAACTTCTAGATAACTTCCACTAGAGGCTTATATAGATGGAACCAAGCTATTTTTATTATTTATTTTATTTTTATGCTGCCCAATAGCCGAGATGCTCTGGGTGGTTAACAAAAGTATATTTTATGTTTGTTCTTGTTTATATACCACTAAATATTAGAAAAAATCATAAAACAGTTTCCATATAAATACTAAAACAACATTTAAAATAATATTTTAAAAATATAGTATCCTACTGTGCAATTGCAGTAATACGTAGGAGAAAGAGGTTGGGACACGTGGGAGCTTTAGGCTCATTTCAGTAGCCCTCCTGACACACTTGTCTGCCAGGCTACCAAGGAGAATTTTTTAAAATTTAAATTTAACAAATGGTTTCCAGAACACCATGGAGTACCCCCCAAAAATTAAATCTAGATTATTTGCAACCTAAATTTGACCTTTTTAGGACTCCTAAAAGGGTCAAATCTAGCTTGCAAACAAACTATATTTGACCTCTGGCAATCTGTGGTACTCTTGATCCCATTTTCCATTAATTTTTAAAGCTTATTTTAAAGTATTTAAAGTTTAAGAAACTTATTTTCAGGAACCAGTTGTGGGGAGAGGGGAACATATATAAGCTATATATTATATTGGAGCCATGTGTCATGTAGTCTGATGCCCCCTTCTCTTTTGCAAAACTCTTGAGAATGGTGCTTTACATCACAGGAGATGAACGGAAGAGGCTACACTGTTCTAAACATTCGAGTTAAAGGGAAATTTGCCAGAACACCTGCCAGGGCTGAAGAAAACCTGGCAGTATGCTTAATGTGGATCAGGCGTACTCTTTACCATGTTCCTAATCTGTAGCAGCTTCCCATGTTCCTACTGGGAACTAATGTGGACTAATGTATGGTTTGGCCCCTGGGACTTTAGAGTTAATACACTTAAGATCTTAGAAAATCTTTCAGGAAGAGTATGGAGGAAGAGTTTATTTGCCAAGTACCTTTCTGCACCATGATTTCATTAATAGCCTGATCCTGTGCCTTGCTGAACCACTGTGATTAAACCATCATCCAGTAAATGTTCTTTTGTGCACAAAGCATTGCATTCTAAATGTGCTTATTCCCTTAATATGTGCATGAAGTCATCTTTGCTTCCTGACAAAATTGTTCCTAATAGAATTGTTATCATCTGGCAGTTCTTCTGGGCAGTAAAGCAACATCTGATGCCAAGTACAGCTGACCTCCTTTCTTGTCCTTTCACATAATCTCTTGACTTCTGAAAAGTGTTTGGAAAGCCTTGTTATATCATTATTTTAATATATAACTTTGCTTCCAAGAATAATTTGTTCTTAACTGAAGTTTATGTTTTACATTGGAAAAATTATGTTTGTTCAGATACCAAAGTTGAAACTTTTTCTTTAAAATAAGAAGTGAGCAGAAATCTTCCATTTGCTAAAAGGATGGAAAAGTAAAGGCAATGTACCTCTGAATATTGAATATTGGGTTTTACTTTTGACCCTCCCAGAAGTATGGTGCTGGATTGGGTGGGCCTTTTTTTGTAAGTGTTCCACTTACTTTAATATAATCTGGGGTGAGAATTTGGTATGTTCAGCCTAGAGAAGACAAGACTGAGGGGAGACATGATATCACTGTAAGTACCTCAAAGACTGTCACAAAGAGTCTTAAGATCCCTTATCACCCATATGAGATGTAGGACATGGAATGACCGGCTCAGGTTGTGACAACCCAGATTTAGGCTAGAGATCAGGAGAATTTTCCTCAATGTCAGAGGAATATGACAGTGGAACAAGTTGCCTAGAGAGGTTGTGGGCTCTCCCACACTAGAGACATTCAGACAGAAACTGGACGGTCATCTGAGTGGGATGGTGTAAATTGGCTTCCTGCAACAGCAGGAGGTTGGACCCAGTGGCTGCCTTGGCCCCTTTGAACTCTGTTATTCTTTGATTCTAACTATCCCTCCTGATGTTGTTAGATTGCAATTCCAGTCTACCTTAGCCAGTGGATTATGGTGAGGGATCATGGCAGTTGCATTTTAACAACTTCTGGAGTACCACAAGCTGTCCACATCTGATATAATCAATGACAGCACTGTTCTCTCTCTCTTGATTGTTTGGCACAAGTTACACTAAGTTGCGCGCCATACTTGTTAACTACAAAGAACCAATGAAGAAGAGAAGCCATGGTGTTTTGTTGGATTATGAACTTTGGCTGGTTTACCATAGTTATCAGCAGGGTTCACACAATTTTAATGTATTTTATTGTTATAATTAATTTTTGAATTAATTTTAATTTAAATTAATTTATAATTTAAATGTTTTAAATGCTGTCTTATGTATTGTGTGTTCCTGCTTTTATATCCTGTTGTGAACTGCCCAGAGAGATTCAGTATAGAAATGTAGTTAGTAGTAGTAGTAGTAATACTCTTTAGTCTCCTCCTGGTTCATCCAAATGATCCATTCCCTGTCTGTTTCTTCATCTTTCTTCTGCTTTTTGAGCCAAATATGCAAAGAAACACATCCAAACATTTTGGAGTATTTCACACGTTCTTGAAGGATATGCTCAACTTTGGTTTGTATCAGAAATGTATTATTTGCAAGCTTCCTATATTTAATTCTTCAGTGAGAATTTAAAAGCTTCTGTAGTAAGGGTTGTTTTGGTAACATATTTTAATGACATACCCCTTTTTCAACCTATTCTGTAGTTTTACTCTGAGTATGAATCCATCCCATCATTTATATATCATTGCCCTATTTAGGCATGTATCAAAAAATCTGTAACATGCGCATGGCTCTGGTCTATTTACTTATGACAACTGATGGGTGGAAAACATTTTTCTATATGCTCATTTCCTAAACCGTTTAAGGACAGACTGCTTTCTTGCTTTTGCTGTTCATTTCTTCTCTACTTTTAAGGGCTAAAGAGAAAGCAACCAAGAATACACAGTCAAAAGGAAGGGAAATTCCCACAGTCTGTCCTATCAACTACTTTTCCTATGTGAATTTGCCCAAAATAACTGTAAATTATAGAGTCATACAGTATCTTGTCATGCTAAAGCCACTGATGTCATTTGTATGTAAACTACTGTCCATAAGTAGCATTTTTGCTCCAAATAGGACAATCCCAACAAGCATGAGGTTATGAAATGACTTACATTTGCCATGGTAGAAAGGTATTCATAGAAACATAGAAACAGAGCGAGTCAGAAGGGGTCTCCCGGGCCATCTAGTCTGACCTCCGGCACCAGCTGGCTCCACTCATGACATGCCCACCATATTCAATTTTATATTAATTCACAAAATATGATGAAACGGCTTGTTATATGATAATATGTGGTAATAGATGGCTAATATCTTGGTTTCCATATAGGCTTATAACTGGAGAACTGTCAGATTCTGAAAGTGACATATTTGAACAGTCTAAAGAATGGACTACACAGTTAGCTGAAGAGCAGCAGAAAGCTTTCAGTCATGGAATAGAGCTCATTCCCTGGTATGTGCTGTCAGTCAGAGCTGATGTCCATCAGTTCATGCTTCAAGGTGCAACAGTTATACATTATGACCAAGAGACACACTTTTCAGTACGCTGTTTCCTGCAACTTCAACCTGACAATAGTACATTGACATGGATGAAATCCACCACTGTTTGCTCTGCAAGTTCTAAAATGAAATTGAACATGCCTGGCAGCACTGCTGAACTTGGGAAATTTCAGTTTCTTGGTAATACTGGATTAAATGGACTGGTGGAAGGATGCTTAGATCTGTTCTCAGCAAAGGCTGTGTATATGGGGCACTCTGGCATTGATATGCATGCTGTGTGTATTCAGCATAAACTTTGCAATATGTCTCTTGAAGAGAATGGTATAACACTATTGTATGGACTTCAAACTACTGAAAATAAGTTGCTGCACTTTGTGGCTCCGAAATATACTGCCAAAATGCTGTTTGATGGATTGCTGGAATTAATGAATGCTGTAAGAAAGATGAAGAAATTTCCTGATCAGAGACTGCAGTGGCTGCGAAAACAGTATGTCAGCCTTTATCAGGTAAAGTGAACTATAATTCCCTGTGTTTCCCAACAAGCAGAAAATGTATAATACCGCACCCACTGATCTTTAGAATCATCTCTTTCCCACTCTTATTAATTCCATGGTAACTGGTGAGACTCAAGTCTAAGTTAGACCATGTTCTTAGGAAACTACATGCATACAGCTAAAAGCAAATGGGAAGTTTCCTTAAAATTATGTCCATTTTAATGAAGCTGATGACTTTTATTAGGAGGATGGACGTTATGAAGGACCAACTTTGGCTCAAGCTGTTGAACTGTTTGGAGGGAGGCGTTGGAGTACAAGAAATACAAGCCCAGGAAACCTGATAAAAAGTGTAGAGAAACCAGGTGTGCAAAGAAACAACACTCTGGGAATCGTCACAGCTAAGAAAAAGAAGAAAGTGCTCATGAGGGTAGGAGGTTCAATTACTTATCATTTTTGCATGGGTAATTTAAGATCCTTTATAATCCTTCCTGCATAATCAACTGCATTTACCAACACAGAAGAATTATAAATAGAGATAACTTGATTGCTACTTGTTTGGATTTCCTCTATGTAGAAGCAGAGAAGTTTTTGGAACAGAAAATAGTACAAATGTTTGCCTGTGTTTAAACTGAACTAGAAGTACAGCTTTCTGGGTGGTATTTTCCACTTCTGAGTTGAGCCTTTGTCTTTATTACAGAAGTCAACGGGATGGGAAATATCATTGGAAGTTTATGCAGTATTTTTGACCAGCCAGAAAATATAACTTCCCCTCACTGCCAAAATTCATCAATTTGGAAGGCAGAATCAAGTCAAGCTAAATTTCAGGAACTGCCAATGAACATTACTGGAGCTGCTAGAAAGGAAGGCTAAAATTTTCATGAATGGTGGGGCTGGGACAGGGTGGGAATAATCTTGAGATCAAATGTAAATCTTGTTTTAAGAATTTGTAATGTTTGGGCATGATAGAGAGTGCCATTATTGCCATTCAGCATTTGAAATGCGAAGTAATTTTTTTAAAAATAATTGTAGGTAATAGGTTGGATCAAAAGGCTTCCATTTATTCGTTTATTGCTTGACAGCTTGAGTAAGGAAATCTTTGCAATCCACCTCTTTATGTTTTTACAAAACATAGGGTGGGGGTTACGGTTATCCTTTGTCTTAAAAATTCATGTTTTTGATTCACATTTTTCATGATAATTTTGAATAACAAGTTAAGGTTACAATCTTTGGGCATGTAGACATTGTTCAGCGTAGACAGAGCTGAAAACTAGGAGGTAAAAATCCATGCTTAAATATTCACCCAAGCCCAGCCACCAGAGAAAGCTGCACAGAGGTGCCTCCTCTGAGTTTGGTGCCCAGCTTTGGACAAGGGAAGAAAAAGGGATGGGCTGGTGAGGAGGGAGGAAGAGGCGCGTGTGTATACGGTATCCTATGATCTCTTCAGCCCCAGTTCCTGCATGTTTCCTCCCAAGGGGCAAATTGTATCATTAGGGAAGGGGATTTTAACTGGGGAACAAGTTAGTGACCTCTTCAGTGTTGCAGTCCCAGTCAAAATCACTACTCCTCTCCCCAAATTAATTTAAAAAAAATCACACCTCTCATTCATTGAACTCTAGTGACACATATGGAACAGAATCTAATGGGCTTCTTACACCCTTGCTGGATTCTTTGCATACCATAGATTCTGTTGTACAAACATTGTATCCCACTGATTCCATTACATAGGTTGAATCTACTGCTTTACAACAGAGATTTAGCACTTCTTAGAGAAGGCCCTGAAACAAGTAGAAATGCTTGTTTCTCAGTAGGGCCAGGTTGACAGATCTCCTTTGTGTGCGAGAGCTCCACTTACCTGTCCTATTCCAGAAACAAGTGTCATTCATTTCCAGTTGCCCTAGAGGTGCTAAATTTTTGTTCCACAGACAATGGGTTCTTGTGGATGGGTAAGACACAAGAGAATCAGTGGAGGTATAAACAGCCCATTTCTGCCCCTATTTTGGCTCTCAGATGAATACCTAATCATTATTTTCTTCCACATGCAGTTCTTCGTCGTGACCTCTGTGCATTCACACGTATGGATGCTGCACCTGCGCAGTGCCTGTGGCCGGAAATATTTAAAGCTTAACGGTTTTGGTGGGTCCTCTGCACCCCCTCCCCCCCTACAGTATAAGAAGGCAGAGTGCCCGCCATTTCCTCAGACTTCTTGTGACCGCCGTTAACTGTGCCTCAAGCCTTTCGTCTCTCAGTCTGTACTATATTGTATATCTTGTTACCTAAACCGCTGTTTTTCTCTTAGCTTGTTAAGATTCCAAGTTACTACCCTTCCTGTTAGAAGTTTTCTTCTCATCCCCCATTCCCTTTTCCTGTTTTCCCCCCCAAAAAAAAGAAAAAAAAAGGAGTTTTCTCTCTCTCTAATCTTACCTTTGCTATCTTCTCCTCTTTTATCCTCGATGGCTTAGCGCACGGCTCTCCACAAGTGTTCTCAGTGCGGATCTAAAATGTCGCCTACTGATCTGCACGACCTGTGCCTTCTCTGTCACGGAGAAGGACACAGAACCGATAAATGCAGCCACTGCCAGGCCTTTACTAAGCAGGCGAGGAAAAATCAAGAAAACTTTCTGCACAAACTCTTGTGGGACCAAGTCCTGCTTGAATCCGATCAACTGGCAGGCAAATCTGCTGTGCTGTCCTCTTCTTCAGCTACCCCTCCATCCTGCCCATCGGCTGATGGTGCTCCCTTATCGGAGAGTCAACACTTCTCTGCATCTCCACATAAGCAAAAGGAGAAGAGGAAGCATAGTGGGTCGGACAAGTCCTCAGGCCATAAGAAGCCTAAGAAGGACAAGGCAGATAAGGCAGTGCGCAAGTCCAAGAAAGCCGACCAACCCCGACACCGTGATGCAGGTTCATCCACCCCGTCGATCCCGACGGCTGCTTCGGCACCGAGACCAACTGGACTGACTCTTCAGCTGGTGATGCGAGTGACTCGCCCCTTCCGTCCTGTCTTCGCCTGATCACCAGGAGGCTGCCATGTTGGGATCCATCTCTGATAGAGAGATCCGAGACTCTCACCCAATGGCACACTCGCCCACTCCTCAACCATCACCTGAGGCTCCCCTGAGGGCCCCACCTCAACAGGTGTGATACCAGCAGTGTGCCTCCATCCGTCCCTCTGGAGAATGGGTGCAAGCGCCCCATAGGTCAACTCCTCGTGAACCATGGGACGACTATCCACCCTATGGGTATTACCCCTCGGTACATGATTGTACCCTCTCTCCGGTTCCATCAACCTCCAAAGCGGCTCAGTCCAGGCGCCCTTCTTCGCCTGTTGATTCCTCCTCCAGCCTTCCGCCTCATTTTGACTTGGAATCAGAGGATTTCTCTACTTCGCCAGATGCTGTAATCACCACCCTTCGTCAAGTAATGATGGAACCATGGAACTTCCCCAATCAGCCACAACCCACTTCATGATGCTATGGACCCATGTATTGAGTCCATGAGCAGGATATCCCATTCCTCCTGCATCACCTGAGACCGAATTCAGTTGTAGTAGAGTCATCTCAAGGCCGCGAGTCGAGGGAACACACCACTCTTCATGATAAAGAAGGGCGTAAGATCGACATGTTGGCTCACCATATTTACGCCACCACAGGTCTCGGCCTCTGGATTTCTAACTATGAGGCTATACTGGCTCGCTACCAATATTTTCTGATGCAAAAATTGGTAACTATCACAGCGTCGCTTCCGGAACAGCAGAGACCTGGCCCAGATTTTCACCAAGGAGTCAATGCAGGTGGTGGTCCAGCAACTCTCCACGGCGAGACACCATGTTGATTACGACTCCAGGGCTCTCGTTGGTGCTGTAGCTCTCCGTCGCCATGCCTGGCTCCAGAACTGCAAATGAAACAAAGCGTTGTATTGAGAACATGCCCTTCGACGGCTCAGGGCTGTTCAATGCCCAGACGGACCACAAGATGAAGACGATTCATGAGTCGAGGGTGACAGCTCGTCAGATGTAAGTCCCCAACCAGTCTCGGCGTAAGTGGTCTTGGTCCCGTCTGTCCTACCAGTATCGGCCCTATACACAATTTTTCTGGCCAACAGCAATTTCAGCCTTGTCAGCAGCACCAGAAGCAACAACCACAGCGTTTCCAACAGAGCCATCGTCGACCTGATTCGGACAAACACCAGCGCTGACAGGCCAAGTAAACCTCTCCTCATCTCCTAAACCCACCCTCCCCTCTTCCTTTTGGGGATCAACTGCAAAGTCGACTCTCCATTTGGGAGTCTATCACATCTGATCAGTGGGTTTTATCCATCGTACAACACGGTTACAGAATCGAGTTCGATACTGTACCCCCGCCTAGACCGATCTGATTTACACCTCAGTCATCGGTTCTCGTAGATGAAGTTCAACAGCCTCTTTGTAAAGGAGCGATTTGACAAGTCACATGCTCTGAGGGGTTACACGGCTTCTACTTGAGATGTTTCACGTAAGTGTGATGGTGGTCTTCGTCCAATATTGGACCTATGTGACATCAACAAATTAATCAAAACTAAGAAATAAAAACTAAGAAAGAAAATTTAAAACATCCTTCTGTTGCTCAGGAGAAAGGATTGGTTCACTTCTTTGGACTTAAAAGATGCTTATTTTCATATTAGCATCCATCCGTCTCAAAGGTGTCTTCTTCGATTTACGGTCGGTTCCGACTTGTTTAAATATAACGTTTTTCCATTTGGACTGGCTACTGCTCCCGGGTCTTTACAAAATGCATGGCCCTGGTGTGTGCGCATCTTCGGCTCTAGGGCATTCAAGTTTACCCTTACTTGGACAACTGGTTGATTGTCTCCTCGTCTAGAGAAGGCCTTTGATCATTGATTTGGACTACTTGTACCCTCTTGGATGATTTGGGACTGTGTATTAACCACGAGAAATTGTGCCTTGCTCCTTCACAGATCATCGATTTCATCAGAGCCCATCTCGACTCCACGATAGCGAAAGCCTTCCTTCCACAAGGAAGACGAGACAACCTTCATGCATCCATTTGATGAATCCACATGGACAGAACTGTTCCAGCACTATCGGTGCAGAAACTCCTCGGTCACATTTCCTCCACAGTCTCGGTAGTCCCTCATGCCAGACTATGGATGAGGCCCCTTCCAACTGTGGTTCAACAGCTTCTTCCAACCCCAATGAGACTCGCCTCAGCGGATTCTTCGCCTTTCGTCCTCCAAACCTTATCATGGTGGACTATACAAAACAATTTGTCTGTCGGCATTCCGTTCCGTCCCTCTCACCCAACTCTGACTCTGTCCACCGATGCCTCCTTCACTGGGTGGGGAGCTCTGTGTGCCTGACTCCGTACTCAGGGCACCTGGGACTATTGAGAGACCGCCAAGCACATCAATCACCTTGAACTGCTGGCAGTCTTCAAAGCCCTTCGGTCATTTGAGGGCACTCTTCGGGGGCAAATTGTTCAGGTTGCCTCCAACAACATTGTGATGGTATTCTATATAAACAATCAAGGCGGAACAAAGTCCAGCTTCCTGGTTCACCTGGCTATGCAACTGTGGGACTGGTGTATCCCGAGGGGGATTACCCTTCTCGCTGTTCACCTAGCCGGTACCGACAACAAGGAGGCGGTTACACTCAGCAGGCAGATGTCGACAACCCACGAATGGGAACTAGATTGTCAGACCTGCCATCACCTCCTTCAGACATGGGGCTCTCCAGACATAGATCTGTTCACCACTCACACGAACAAGGTGTGCAAGATTTACTGCTCCTGCGCAGGCATCGTCCCGGGTTCGAAAGGAGATGTGCTAATGATCCTGTGGGTGAACACATTCTTTATGCGTTCCCCCCGATACCACTTATAATGAGAACCCTTGCCAAGATCACTTAAGACAAATCTCAGGGAATTCTTATCACTCCCTGGTGGCCCCGCCAACCATGGTTCCCTACTTTTCTCTGTCTGTCCAGCAACACCTTTCGACGACTGCCTCTCATACCTCATCTGATCACTTAACAGAATGGGCTGTTCGTCACCCTGATCTTCCTTCACTCAATCTGATAGCCTGGCTCATTCAATGAACCATGGTGCTCCTTCGGTACTGGCGGCTTCATTGGCCCCGACACTGGCCCAACACTCCAGATACTGCTCCTCGTTCTCCCTCGATACTGACAAATGCTCCTTTGGATCTGAGTACTCTACATCCCGATATTCAATTCATTCTCCAGTCTGCACTAAGACCTGCAACCTGCCACTCTTATGCGGCTAAATGGAGGTGCTTTACATCTTTTGCTGAATCTAATAACTTTATTGCTCACTCAGCCTCCACTGAAAACATTCTTCAATTTCTCTTGTCACTACACCAGACTGGACTTAAACCTTCATCTACCAAAGTTTACACTGCAGCAATCTCCCACTATTGTGGCCATGTGTTACGTTCTTTGGTATTCTCATACCCTCATTCGTCGATTCCTTAAAGGAGTGCAAAATCTACGACTACCAGTTAGACCAATTATTCCTACTTGGAGCCTCTCTGTTGTTTTGCAGGCACTCACCAGACCTCCTTTCAAGCCCTTGACGACTACTGACTTGCGCCTCTTATCTTGGAAAACTGCTTTTCGCATCGCTATCACATCGGCTAGAAGGGCCAGTGAACTCTGTGCACTCCGTATAGACCCTCCTTATCTCACTTCCATAAGGAGAAAGTTGTTCTGCATACCGATCTGGAATTCTTACCGAAAGTTGTGTCTCCTTTCAATATCAATTAAGACATTATCTTACCAGCCTTCTTTCCTACTCCATCTACACCGATAGAGTGATCGCTTCATTCTCTCTACGTTCATTGTTGCCTTGCTTTTTACAGATCTCGCACAGAATCTTTTTGTAAAACTAACCGGCTTTTCATCAAGTACTCAGACCATGACAAGGGCTCTCCTATTGGATCCCAAAGACTTTTGAAATGGATTGTACAGACCATCAAGCTGGCATATCATCTTGCTAAATTGGACTTACCTGTCATGCCTAGAGGGCACTCCACGAGGGCCGTAGCAGCATCTTCTGCTTTTTCTGCTGGCATTCCGATTCAAGACATATGCAAGGCTGCCACTTGGACTACTCCTTGCACCTTTGCCAGACATTACCGCCCTGATGTGCATGCCAGACATCATTGCTCCTTTGGTCAGGCAGTCCTTTCTTCTGTTCTCCAATGATGACACTGCCCCGCCTCCAGGTTCAATAAGCTTGCTAATCACCCATATGTGTGATGCACAGAGGCCATGACGAAGAAAGGCAGGTTGCTCACCTGTAACTGTCGTTCTTCTAGTGGCCATCTGCATTCACACAACCCACCCACCGGCCCTGCTCAGTGTCGGTGACTGGGTTTCTACAGTACCGTATTTCCTTTGATAGCGGATCCGTAGATGGCTTTTTCCTTTAATGTATGGATTTATTTGTATGTGTATACCAAGTATTCAGCAGATACCCTGCAATACTTAATGCTCCCACTGGGGGGTGAACGATCGGTCTCCAGTAGACTGAGGAAATGGTGGGCACTCCACCTTCTTATACTGTAGGGGAGGGAGGGGGTGCGGAGTTCCCACCAAAAACGTTAAACTTTAAATATTTCCAGCCTCAGGCACTGCGCAGGCGCAGCACCCATATGTGTGAATGCACAGATGGCCACTCGAAGAATGAAAGTTACAGGTGAGCAACCTGCCTTTTTTATTGCTTTTTCCTTAGCGAGCTGATAATGGCTTTCTTGACTAAATGTTTTCATAACCCTTTGTAATTTACTAATACCTTAAGAATGAAATATGAAGTGTTTCTAAGATGTTTATTATGAAGGTCACTTTTTTAAGGGTGAAAGTGGAGATGGTACTGATGATGAAATGACAACTCGAAAAGCAAGACCTTTTAAGGAAAATCGGAGTAGAAGTGGTTCAGACCCTCAAGATATTGATGAGCAAGATGAAATAGGTACTTTTTATTTTATTTTGGACAGAGAAAGAGCCAGTGTGGTGTAGTGGTTAAGAGCATGGGACTGGGACTCAGATGATCCGGGTTCTAGTCCTCCGCTATGGAGCCAACTGGGTGACTTTGGGCCTGTCACAGACTCTCAGCCCAACCTACCTCACAGGGTTGTTGTTGTGGGGATAAGATGGAGGAGGAGAATGATGCAAGCTGCCTTGAGCCCTTTGTAGATAAAAGGCAGGATATAAATCAAATGAATGAATGAATGAATGAATGAATGAATGAAACCAAATGAATCCTTTGGTTGACATGTAGACACTTGGCTTCTCCCATTTTTGTCTGATTGTGGCTCCTCAGACTGCTCCCAAAGGTTAAGAGCAGCTTGTTGGGTGCTACAAAAGGTCACTTAAAGTACAGATGTACATGCAAAAGCTCCCAATGCTGATCTGAATGTATTTTTGGCTAGAACAGGGTATCTTGCATTCACACATTTTAATAAACATATATATAGCTATAAAGTAAGCACTGCTAAAACATCTGCCTAGCTCACCTGTCATTAAAAAATGAGTACCCAGCTGGAAAATGCTCAGGGTTGAGTGAATCTACATGAGAAAGAAAGAACCACTTGAGAGCACTCCTGTATAACCTCATATGTGGTATATGACACTCAAATGACATTGTCAAGAGCAGTTCTTTAGAAATGAAATGTTGTACATGCTAACTGAAATTCCCTCTGAGTGTAGATTTTATATGTTTTTGATCATAGGTCAAAAACAGCAAGAACCAATTAGAACAAATGCAGGCTTGCTAGTGCAATGTATCCCTGGTTTCTTTCCCTGTCTGGAGCTGCATCATTAGTATATGAGGTTGAATATTTAAATTCAGTTATAGTTCCTTTGTTGCAAAGACACCTAACAAAATACTTTGTTTCTGTGACATCTACCTCCTATTTCCATATTCTGTATGATCAGAACAAGAACTTTAGGAACTTTTGCTTCTCATTTAGTTAACTCTGGTTTGTTCTATGGTGGAAAAACATGGTGGTTAAATTAACACTAATTATGATTGGTTTCAAACAAGTCAATTTCAGCTGTGGTTTCTGAAACCAGATAATTGCAACTAACTTTAAATAGTGATAAACACAGCATAGCAATTTGTGCTTAACTAAAAATACAATTCTTTTTTAGTTCTCCGTTGGGCTGCTAGGATTAGGAAATGTGTGAACTTAATGTGGCTCATATATATCATGCTAAAATGTAAACCATGGCTTAGCTTGACATGTGAGTGCAGCCAGGGCCTGCATTTGGACTTCACAATAAACCGTGGACATCATGATAAGCCACCTCACTTCTTCCAATGCAGCCTCAAGGAGGAATTTGGAAATGTTATTTCTGTTTTTGATTACCTGCTGCTGCTTGTTTTATCGAAACTAAATAAAATCAGTTTGACTTGGCCATTTCTTATTTTCAATAGAATACGAAACCGTGGATTATGAAATGGCTTGTTTCAACAAACTGTAGTTAAGTGGTTTTTGTCAGGGCTTTGTTTTCATGTTTTTGAGTTCCACGTTTTATATGTCATGGCATTAAGATACTATTCTCTTCCCAAAAGGAAGTTTTTCAGACTAACTTTTAAAGGCATGTTTTTCCATTAAAAATGCACAATTAATTTTATAATTATGAAATTCTGTATTGCCAAAGTAAGCTAATAATAAAGACTGCTTTTCTCTGGAACAGGATTGCATCCAGTGCTAGTTCTTACTAACTTAATTAGCATTGATTTAAATGGGTCTACTTTAAGTAGACTAACATAGGCTGCATCCTAAAGAATGGGTTGAAAATCTTCCTGTGACTGGAGTGACAGTCTTAATGCATAATACTAGTATATTGTACTGACCTTAAAAAGCATCGTTTTCCAACTTTTCCTTAAACAGGAAGGTGTATTTCAGGATTGTCATTGAAAATGTTCTTTCTGTTTACATTTATTCATAAATATTCCAATGTTGCTGATCCGTTTCCCTTGTTTTGGTCCAATTCTTAAATAAGAAAACAGTTCCTTGTAGCACCTTTGCATTCAGTTTAGATTCTATTTCTTGCTAAATACTTGGCCTCTCATCCCATGGTCAGGGACTGATGCCAAGTTTTTAATTAGTCTGGAGAGCTGTTGCACATGTCCGGGCAAAATGAAATGAACATGGAAATAACCTCTGCTTCACCCTTTTAATAGAGAGTTGAGGGACAATCCCTTGCATGGTTAGACAGAAAAGGAGTCTACAATTCCCAGTATGCCCCAGTAATGCTGGCTGGGGGATGATAGGAGTTGTAGGCCCTTTTAATGTCTAACCATATATAGCTTTGCAGCCTTAATCTTGATTAATCACAGAATGAGAAATGCAAGTAATTATACATTTTATTAACTATTTTGTGTTGGTAAAAGTGTATTCATTATATACAGATTTGGAGCAGCATTTTGAACACTATATTTTTTCAGTTGTCTTACTGACAGATGGTTCTGTGTAACAAACATTTGCATACTCTTCTACAGACAGAAAATAGTCCAGCAAAATAGATGTTTATCATAGAAACAGAGCGAGTCAGAAGGGGTCTCCCGGGCCATCTAGTCTGACCCCTGGATCCAACCTGCTCTGCTCACGACATGCCCACCATGTGCCCTCCATGTGCATGTCCAGCCTATGTTTGAACACCCTCACCGATGGGGCCTCAACCACCTACTGTGGAAACCCATTCCATACCGTTGGGTCCTGACTGTCATGAAGTGCTTCCTGGCATCCAAATGGAACCTTGGCTCCCTGAGCTTTGTTCCATTGGAGTGCGTCCTGCCTTACTCTTCAGGGGAGAAGAGGTCTCTACCCATCTCCATGTGACATCCCCTCACATACCTGTATGTCGCCAACGTATCTCCTCTGAGTCTCCTCTTCTCCAGGCTGAAGAGACCCAGTTCCCTCAGTCTCGCCTCATACAACATCCCCTGCAAATCGGCCACCAACCTTGTGGCCCTACGCTGCACTGACTCTAACCTGGCTATAACCTTCCCATAATGAGGGGCTCAAAACTGAGCACAATACTCCAGTTGTGGGCACACCAGAGTCATGTAGAGGGGTAGGAATACCTCTCTTGATCTAGAAGCCACACTTCTGGCTATGCAACCAAGGGTGGTGTTCGCCCTCTTGACCACTGCATCACACTGCTGACTCATGTTTAGCCTGCAGTCAACCAGCACCCAGAGGTCCCTTTCACAAGTGCTGCTCTTCAGCCGCTTGTCCCCTAACCTGTACTTATGACACCCATTTCTGTTCCCCAATGCAAGACCTTGCACTTATCCACATTGAACACCATCCTGTTGTCTCCTGTCCACTTCCTTAGTCTGTCCATATCCTTTTGGATCTGGACTACCTGCTCCTCAGTTGTGGCTACTGACCCAGTTTTAGTGTCATCTGCGAATTTGATCAGCAGACAGTTCACCCCTTTTTCCATGTCATTTATGAAAAGATTAAACAGGATCAGCCCCAGGAAAGAGCCCTGGGGGACCCCGCTTGTCACTGGCTGCCAGCCTGATGATTCCCCACTAATGGTTACCCTCTGCTTTCGGTCAGTCAACCATGCCCTAATCTACCGGTCTATCTCAAAAACTCCTCAGTTTCTCCACCAGGATATCATGGGGCACTTTGTCAAAGGCCTTGCTGAAATCCAGGTAAACCACATCCACTGCATCCCCTTCATCTAGCCATCTCGAAACCTTGTAGAATTCTACAAGGTTTGTCTGGCAGGACTTGTTTTTGCAGAAGCCATGTTGTGTGGCTGCCAGCCTCCCTTCCCCATCTAGCATCACTAGATATGAGCCTTTCCATTGTTTTTCCTACAACGGACGTAAGGCTAAGTAGTCTGTAATTCCCCATGTCCCTTCTACTACCCTTTTTGAAAATTGGGACCACTGATGCCACCCTCCAGTCCTCTGGAACTTCACCGGTTCTCCACAAGGCCTCAGAAATGGAGGCCAGTGGGCGTGAGAGAACCTCTGCCAACTCTCTAAGTACTCTTGGGTGTAACCGTCAGGGCCTGGCGCCTTTGTAATGTCCAATGCCCTGAGGAGCCCCTTGACGTCTAGGGGGCTGACTCTAATCTGTGTCCCTAAGTCCCCAGTCTCATCTAACCTCCTATGCAGATCTCCCCAGTCCTGCTTTGGGCAGAACACAGAGGCAAAATAGTCATTTAGCATCTGTGCCTGTACCCTCATATCAGTCACTGGATCCCCTTCCTCCTTATTTAGTGGTCCCACCACTTGTCCCCACTTCCTTTTCCTATTTACATGCTGAAAGAAGCCCTTTTTGTTGCCCTTGATATTCTTGGCAAGTCTCAGCTCGTAATCAGCCTTAGCCTTGTCAAGAATCCTTCTGCAACAGGCCTCCTCCTCCCAGTATACCCTTTTGTCTATTTCCCCCAGTACCCATTTCCTACAGAGGTTCCTCTTTCATTTAATCCCTCTAACCACCTCCTTTCACATCCATGGCGGCACTCTCCTCCGCCTCCCCACCTTACTGACTAGAGGTATCGTCAAGGCTTGCGCCTCCAAAACCTCCCTTTTGAGTGCCATCCACCCCTCCTCAACTTGCTTACCTTCCAGTAACCTATCCCAGGAGACTTTCCCCAGTCTGGCCTTCAGTTGGCCAAAGTTGGCCCTCTTGAAGTCCCAGTTTCTAGTGCTCGACCTGCTGCACGTCCCCAGTCCCCTGATCTCAAAGCAAAGGATGGAGTGATCACTCACATCCAGAGCTCCCCTAATCTGTACTTCATCTATCAGCTCCTTCCTGTTGGTCAAGACCAAGTCAAGGATGTTTTCCCCCCCTCGTCGCCTCTCAGACCCTCTGTGTGAAAAACCCTCTAGGAACCTTCTAGGAAGCGACGTGACCTGGCTGTCACCGCCGAGTGAGTCTCCCAAGTAATATCTGGGAGATTGAATCTCCTATAATTATTGTGTCTCCCCCAAGATATCCTTAGAATCTGGCCTGTCAGGACATCATCCAGGATCTCAAGTTGACCTGGAGGGTGATAACATACCCCCCACTGTCAGGTCTCTTTCCCTGTCAAAACCCCTAAGTTTCACCCTGACTGCCTCTACCAAATCCCCATCTGTGCTGCATTCTATCTCACTGCATCCTATCCCTTCCCTGACGTATAAAGCCACGCCCCCACCCGTCTTTCCCTTCCTGTTCTTTCTAAAAAGGTGATAGCCCTCTGTGTTTACATTCCAGTCTTGCCTTTCATCCCACCAAGTTTCTGTGATTCCCACCAGGTCATACCCTTCTATTCCCAGGAGAGCTTCAAGCTCTTCCTGCTTATTGCCCATGCTCCTAGCCTTATGTACATGCACCTCAACTCCTTTCCACTGCTTCCTTTCTTTGGAGTCCCCAGCCTCTTCCTTCCTCCCATTTTCCCTGATACCTGGCCTCTCTTTGTAGGAGTCGTGTCAGTCCCTGCAGTACTTCTAAAATCCTGTTCCCAGAGCCCTGATCCTCTCCCCACACTTGTCCAGTGCAGACACGTTTCTGGAGGGCCTGAACCACCCCCCCCCCCTCGGTCTCAGTCTAAAGTCTTCCAGACAAAGCTTGCTAGAGCATCTCCAAAGGACCTTTTCCCCATTCTTGTGAGGTGCAACCCGTCCCTTGCCAGAAGCCCATTAGCAAGAAACCTGGTACCATGGTCGAGGAACCCAAAGTGTTCCTTCTGGCACCACACTCTAAGCCAGTCGTTTACCTCGGCTACCCTCCTTTCCCTGCCTGGCCCAAATCCCTGGACCGGTAAGATCAATGAAAAGGCCACTTGGGCCTTTAGGTCCCTGAGTTTCTTCCCCAAGGGCTTAAAGTCCCTGGTGATCCCGACCACACCCTGCCTGGCTATGTCATTTGTCCCCACGTGGATCACCAGACGTGGCTGGTGACCCCTGGAGCGAACAAGATGCTCCACTCTATCCTTCACATTCCGGATGCATGTGTCCAGCAGGCAACAAACCTCAGGGTCGGGGTGGCACACCACTGCCTCAGTGCCCCTCAGCCGGGAGTCCCTGACGACAATCATCCGCCGCCATCTCTTCCCAGTGGTGGTAGGTGGCTGTGCCCTGGTCCTCGCCTCTCCTGCAGTAGCCCCCTTGCCGCATGTGGTCCCATTCTGGGGGCCCTGCTGGTCTCCCAAGGCCTCATCAGCTCCAGCCTCCCCAAGTGGAGAGAACCTGTTTCCCAGCTCCAGATCGGCGCCAGGAGAAGGAGGAGGCCGTGCTGGCCTCCTCCTCCTGTGGGTGACATGCCTCCATGTTTCCCCGGCTGTTCCTCACGTAGTCCCTCCCTCAACCCTCTGTCTGGAGGGGGGCTGCTCCCGGGGGACCTGGAGAGCTCTCTCGGCCCTCAGGCACCTCATCTCCTCCTCTAGGAGGGTCACCAGCTTGCACTGAGGGCAAGTGTATCCCTGCCTCTCCTGGGGGAGAAGGGCGAACATGTCGCATCATTTCTTCCAGATATCAGATTTGTTGTTCAAGAAAAGCTATACATTTTGTGCCAGGGAATATTGTTCACTTATAAGTGTTAGTAATACTGGTTTGTTTTATTTTTAGAACCAAGTCTTCTGGTTGCTTTTTCTGGTACCAGTACCTTACCTTCCAGAAGAACACAATCGCTGACTACCTCAGTACCACCTAGTGTAACACCTGGGGTCTCTTCACCTGTCAGACCAGTATCTTCACCTGTGATGCCATCATCAGTAAAAGGTCAATCTAGGTAAGGAGAAAGCATAAGTGTATGTGCTTTTCTGATTTGAAAGATAATTGTACAATCTGTACCTAGCCCATTAATTAATTAAATAAACATAATTAAATTTCTGTGCTACCATAGCCAGAGTTCTCTGGGCAGTTCACACCATTTAAAGCCGTAAAATTCTTCAATATGACAAAACATAATGTAAAACTTTTAAAGTGTGAAACTCTGTAAGTATGAATCCATCTATATCCCACCATCATCTTCTGAGGCCTTCTACCAGGTATTTCATCTGAGAGAGGTTCAGAGGTTGGCCACAAAGTGGGCAACAAAGGCATGCAGAATCTTATGTGCACAGATTCAAGTCTTTGGACTCATGGCCGTTAATATGGCATATTTTTTACAAAATGGGAAAGGAAAATAACTTTTGCTGACAAACAAACTGCTTTTCAATAAAGACTATTGGCACAAGTTGTTGAGTGGATAAGTTTATGAGGAAGAGGAGGAGAATTATGTAAGCTGCCTCAAATATCTCAGAAGGAAAACAAAATGAAGGATTTAAATATATTAATAAAATGAGTAAAATAACAGCTTGGAGGAGCAAGTTGCATGGTTTTATTCAATTTGCAATACAGATCTAGTGGCTAGAATATGAGTGAAATGTGAGTGCAAGGAGTTCTCTGACTACTTCCAAACAAGTCCTTTACTATTCGGTAGCCGTACCTCATTCATGGAATTTTGTAAGAGGTGCAAAGTTTCAGTTGCAAGCCTCTTGTGATTTCTCACATCTATTCCATATTTTTTTCTTCATACATAAAATCTGTTAAGGGGGAAAGAGTGAAATACCATACAGTAGGAGAAGCTGACCCCAGGGAAAGAGGATAACACCTTGGCATTTCCCCTTCTTTCTCTGTTGCTTGCCTTACATGCTTGGAGAATCAGCCTGTGTCCCACAATGCATATTGTTCCTTTATACTCAGCCTCCACAGAAAATAACAGAGCACCATTTCCTTGATCTTCAAGGCAGACTGATGAGGTTACTAATTAATAAAAGAAAGTACATCAGAACAGATTAGAACTAGATCTACACCTGGGCATTTTTCCTTGCATGGTAATACCTGACACTCTGAGGTGTCACATGATGTCATTCTAATCTGTCCTCATCAAACTATTTCTGCCACTAAATCCTGATTTTTTTCAGACTAATTATGTCACAGCTCTTTTATATAATGTGGTTTTTCCCTGGTGTGTATATATATTAGTGTGTGCTAAACTTTGCAGTACTGTTCTGGGGCCAGGAAGAATGGTTTTAGTGGCCCTTGGGGTGAGGAAGAGGGAGAGGAAGTATTATACCAGGGTTTCAGCAAAATAGCAACTCAGGGAAAGAGATAATTCAGTTGCTTTCCTGCCTCCCTTGTGCACCCTTCTACTGTGTCTGGGGAATGAGTTTTAAAGCAGAAAGAGGTCACATACTGAGCACAGCAGTGTTTACTTCCAAGTAAACATATGTAGATTCTGGCTGTAAGGTTGTAGTGCCCTTACACCCTACGAAAGTAGCTTCTGTTTCTCTTGGCAGCTCCTTTAAATAATTAACATTAGCAGTCACTTAATTAATCATTTCCTGAACTTCTTACCTTCCTAAAGCAAACTGTCCTCAGCTTCACCACTGAAATTAACAGTTAAACCAGGGAATTTAGCTGTTAAACAAGGGAATTTTTTCTACCCTAATGCAAGAACAGAATTATGCAAATACTGTAAACTTTTTAAAACTTATATAGTGCTATTTAATGTGGAGGAATGGATGTACCAAGATTTGCTGATTCTGTTTTCTGTCCTTTTCACAACTAGGGAAATAAACCTCTTGCAGCTTTACAAGTCTGTAGTGGAGTAGGTGGCAGGGATTCCCTCAGTTCTGTACCTTTTCTCCAAATGTTTGTCAAATCTATCAAAGAAAAATGCAGTGGGGGGGCTGGTACTTAATTTTACAAACAAATGGACTTTGAACTGCATTTTTCTGGTTGGCTTACTTATGATAGCATAGCCAAGCAGGGGGAAAACTTGTATAAAAAGTAAGCTTTTTGTTCCAAGACAAGGGTGTTCATAAACTTTCCTTTGCTGGACTAAAACATTTTTCTGAGCCCCAAGTACATTACAAAAGAAAGGAGAATTAGGAGAAATTATTCCTTTCCTTCCCAAGTAAGTTACACATGTTGTATAAAGAGAACACAGCCCTGTATCTCTCAAAGCTGTGGGCAGTGCATTACACTTCAACTTGTATTGGAAAAGTAATAATTTGCAGTACTAGGATCTTCCCATCTGGAAGCAGCCCCACTATGGGAGCATTCAGATTTATGACCTTCAGATTGCAATCTGAAAAGAATCTTCATTACTTGCTTCCTTTCATATAAACGGCTCATCAAAAATGGTAAGCGAGTTGAGGAGAGGTGGATAGCACTCAAAAGGGAGGTTTTGGAGGTGCAAGCCTTGACGATACCTCGAGTCAGTAAGGTGGGGAGGCGGAGGAGAGTGCCGCCATGGATGCGAAAGGAGGTGGTTAGAGGGATTAGACGAAAGAGGAACCTCCATAGGAAATGGGTACTGGGGCAAATAGACAAAAGGGTATACCGGGAGGAGGAGGCCCGTTGCAGGAGGATTATTCGCAAGGCTAAGGCTGATTACGAGCTGAGACTTGCCAAGAATATCAAGAGCAACAAAAAGGGCTTCTTTCAGCATGGGACCACTAAATAAGGAGGAAGGGGATCCACTGACTGATATGAGGGAACAGGCACAGGTGCTAAATTTTGCCTCTGTGTTCTCCCCAAAGCAGGACGGGATATCTGCATAGGAGATTAGATGAGGCTGGGGACTTAGGGGCACAGATTAGAGCCACCCCCCTTGAAGTCGAGGGGCTCCTCAGGGCATTGGACATCACAAAGGCGCCAGGCCCTGATGGGTTACACCCAAGAGTACTTAGAGAGTTGGCAGGGGTTCTCTCATGCCTGCTGGCCTCCATTTTTGAGACCTCATGGAGAACGGGTGAAGTTCCAGAGGACTGGAGGGTGGCATCAGTGGTCCCAATTTTCAAAAAGGGTAGTAGAAGGGTCATGGGGAATTATAGACCAGTTAGCCTTTCGTCCATTGTAGGAAAAACAATGGAAAGGCTCATAATAGAGAGAGATCTAGTGATGCTAGATAGGGAAGGGAGGCTGACAGCCACACAACACGGCTTCCGCAAAAACAGGTCCTTCCAGACCAACCTTGTGGAATTCTATGACAAGGTTTCGAGATGGCTAGATGGAGGGGACGCAGTGGATGTGGTATACCTGGATTTCAGCAAGGCCTTTGACAAAGTGCCCCATGATATCCTGGTGGAGAAACTGAGGAGTTTTGGGATACACCAAAGCACTGTCTGGTGGATTAGGGCATGGTTGACTGACGGAAAGCAGAAGGTAACCATTAGCAGGGAATCATCGGGATGGAGGCCAGTGACAAGCGGGGTCCCCCAGGGCTCTGTCCTGGGGCCGATCCTGTTTAATCTTTTCATTAACAACATGGAAGAAGGGGTGAACAGTATGCTGATCAGATTTGCAGACAACGCTAAAACTGGAGCAATGGCCACAACTGAGGAGCAGGTACTCCAGATCCAAAAGGATCTGAACAGACTATGGAAGTGGGCAGGAGACAACAGGATGGCGTTCAATGTGGATAAGTGCAAGGTCTTGCACTTGGGGCATAGGAATAGCTGTCATAAGTACAGGTTAGGTGACAAGTGGCTGGAGAGCAGCACTTGTGAAAGGGACCTCTGGGTACTGGTTGACTACAGGCTAAACATGAGTCAGCAGTGTGATGCGGTGGTCAAGAGGGCGAACACCACCCTTGGTTGCATAGCCAGAAGTGTGGCTTCTAGATCAAGAGAGGTATTCCTACCACTCTACACGACTCTGGTGTGCCCGCAACTGGAGCATTGTGCTCAGTTTTGGGCCCCTCATTACAGAAAGGATATAGCCAGGTTAGAGTCAGTGCAGCGTAGGGCCACAAGGTTGGTGGCTGGTTTGCAGGGGATGCCGTATGAGGCGAGACTGAGGGAACTGGGTCTCTTCAGCCTGGAGAAGAGGAGACTCAGAGGGGATATGTTGGCGACATACAGGTATGTGAGGGGATGTCACATGGAGATGGGTAGAGACCTGTTCTCCCCTGCAGAGGAAGGCAGGAAGCGCTCCAACGGAGCAAAGCTCAGGGAGCCAAGGTTCCATTTGGATGCCAGGAAGCACTTCCTGACAGTCAGGACCCCGAGGGTGTGGAATGGGCTTCCAGGAGAGGTCGTTGAGGCCCCATCGGTACGGGTGTTCAAGGATAGGCTGGACGTCCACATGGTGGGCATGTCATGAGCGGAGCCGGCTGGTGCCGGAGGTCAGACTAGATGGCCCGGGGGACCTCTTCTGATTCGCTCTGTTTCTTTGTCTTAGAGCAGGGATAGGCAAGGCGGTCCCCTCCATATGACTCCTGAGGACATTTTTTCAGTTTCACCTTCACTTATGTTGTCACCACACTGTCAAAGTTGCCGGCAAAATTTGACAGTGTAATAGTGGCAAAAGTAGCAATTTGTTTTTAAGACAAAGCACTCAATTTTTTAAAGCAAAATTGTGCTGTATGTGTCTTTTTAAAACAGTTCCTGTGCTCCTTACATGCCTTGGTTTAAAAAGAAATGGCTGCTTTTTAGCTGACATACTGCTGCAAATTTGGCAGTACAGCAACGGCTTCTGCAGTGACAAGGAGGGTTTCACCACTGACGGGATCAAAGGGAGAAGGAGCAGGAACTGGACTCCAGATGCCAGGAAATTGCTTACCCCATTTTAGAGGAAGGATAATTCTAGAATAAAAATTACGGTGTTAACATGAAAAAATCAAGATACGCTTCCCGGAATACAATGCCGATAACATTTGAATCATTTTCTTTTAGCGCATGGAGCAGCAGTAGCTGGCATGGAAGAGTTAAAGGAGGATTGAAGGGTTTCCAAACCTGCATGGTGTCTGATAGCAACATGAGTTTTGTTGAATTTATAGAGCTCTTCAAGTCTTTCAGGTAAAGTTCATTTTACTGATTCTTTGCCTGAGTTTCTCGAAACAAAACTAAGCCAGAAACCGAAACCACATACAGAGTGTGCTTTGAAGGTGTTAAGATACAATATAATATAAAAATGGTTTATACATTATAGTGTTCGAAGCCGTAAGGATTTGAAGGATCTTTTTGATGTATATACTATACCATGCAATCGATTGAGTGCTGAATCTGTTCCCCTGTATACCTCTCTTAAGATTGATGAGAATACCAATGGACTCCAGCCTGATTTAGGTAAGACATATTAATGTGACTTTATTGCAGTTAATTGTTGTATTTGAACTAGGGACCCATGGAGTCAAACACTATCTCTAGCTTTGTTAGATAGATATAGATACAGATATACTATCTCTATCTGTGGCCTAAATGTCTGTTTCTAGGTATCATTGTTTCTTTAAATTTATTTCTTTATCTGTAATATGAGAACATTGGCTTAGTATGGGAACAAAAATATTGTATCACTTTGGAAATTGTAAAAGTTTTATATATCACTTTGCAAGTTATAAAAAGTTTATTATAAATAATAAATGACAATAAAGGTCTAAATTTGAAGTCCTGGATACAATGCCAATGAGAATCAATTGTATAATATTGAACATAGGCCTGAACACTAAAACTTTGGGCCAGTTGAAATGTATCTAATTGGTGTAGGTACAGTTCTTGGTGAAATATACCTTTAAAAATAATGTGAATCATTCTAAACAAAGTGATCTTTTTCAGAGTGTTAGTTGGAAATGCTCATTGCTAAACAGCAGGTTCTATAAAATATCTTAGGCCATGCAGGACTTAAAGGTTAGAACTAGTTACTAGTAAGGACTTAAAGGTTAAAACTAGCAACTAGTTAAACTAGTACTTCTATAAAGTATTTGTGTTTATATTTTTATCTTTTAGATTTACTGACTAGGAACATATCAGATTTGGGCTTGTTTATTAAGAGCAGGCAGCAGCTATCAGACAACCAGCGACAAATATCTGATGCTATTGCTGCAGCAAGCATTGTTACTAATGGCACTGGAGTAGAGAGCACATCTCTGGGGATATTTGGAGTGGGCATCCAGCAACTCAATGACTTCTTAGTAAATTGTCAAGGAGAACATTATACATATGATGAAATCCTCAGCATTATTCAGGTTCGTAATGCAAAACTATTAATATATACATATTGCTTGATTATTTTGTTTCCTGTGTGTATGCTGTACTCTGTCTCCAATATTCTCCAGTGGGACTTGGGATCTTGAAATGATGCACCTATTACTACACCAAGCAAAGTCATCTTGTTTTGATGTGGCATTGCAAAATCAGTTACAAAGGGAACTGTCTAGCCAAAGTTCAGTACCTTTAAATCCTTTTTTATTCCAGTAGCAAAGAGATGAACATGGATCAATACATGTTCAAAGTTTATTCTTCACTCAGAAGTAAACAGAGACTGAATCAGAGAAAGAGAAGGTGGGACTCCTGACAACTTGTTTTTAAATTTTATTTCAATCAGCTCATGCATTGCTGGGTCTGTGGTGGTGGTGGTGGTGTTTGGTTTTGTTTTTTTGAGAGCATTATTCGGGGCAGTGGCTATATCTATTGGACCTTCAGTATATTCATGAATAAACTCAGAATATACTCTGGAAAGCAGTGAACATTCCCCAGAGTCTGTGAACTGCAGCTTGAGTGACAAGCTGTCTTTCAGGGAAGTTTTCTGCTGTTGCTTGATATATTTTTCCAGTCCTTCCCCAGCAGGTTTCAGAAGGTTTGGAATATGGTAGGGTTGCCCTTTCAATTTGTTCGCATCTTCACATTCACTGTACATTGCTGAGGTCTTGTGGGGATAGGGATCTCTCACTTCTCCTACGAAATAGCAGGAAGCAGGGTAATCCTTTGTGTCATATGCTCATGGGATGTACGTACATCCTGTGAGTAGCCAGCCTTTTCCAAGCACCATAAAAGTACATATGAATGACACACCAAACACATTCTTGTGAAATATCCACAGATTCATGCCAATGACACCACCACCTTTCTTTCTGTATAAGATTTATATTCCACAATATAAAACTTTATTAGTTTTATTTTCCAACAAACTCAAATTAGCTTACATAATTCCCACCCTCCTTCTCACAGTCTTAACCTTCTTAGTCGAAGAACAAGGAGATGGTTTGTCTTTGGAATCAACCTGCCTTGCTTACCTATAGTTGTGTGGCACGACATGGAGGTGACGCAGGGAGAATCCCCCGCCCCCTTAAATGGATGTACAGCTAGATAAAGAGGCTGGTCTCTCTCTCTCTCAGTACTTCCTAGAATGGAGTTGAGTGGCTCCTCTGCAAAGCAGTTTAGATACCCGTGAGGAAACTTAGGGGCAATTCCCACACTACACAGATACTGGGGTTGATTCAATGTCCATATTAAATGCCAAATAAAAAGTTCCAAGTTTTGATGTCTGTGTCATTATTTTTGCTATTCCCTCCCAGTTCACAAAAGTCAGTTGCACCAAACAGATGAAACCACCACTAATTTTTCCTGGTTTGGCTTCAAGACCAGAGAAGGCTAGGAGACATATAGAGAAAACCTTTGTAATAGAAAATTAGGAAATGGATTAAGTTCATTGTTCTGTTTCACTGACTATTTCTCCATTTGACATTTTCCCCAGTCCTCATTTGGCTTTAGAGAAGTGCTACTGGGCATAGCATTTGAAAAATTTCATCTGCTACTGTCATGTCTAGTTTTACCCTTGATAGTGCATAAACAACGTGCAAACAAAAATCATACTGTAATTAAATGAAAAACAGGTATTTGTTATGCCTGTTTATTCTGATGCATTTATTCACATTCTCTTTCTGCATTTTCCAGAAGTTTGAGCCAAGCATCAACATGTGTCAGCAAGGACTAATGTCATTTGAAGGATTTGCACGGTAATGACCTCTGGATCTTACTGATTTTTGTTCAACTGTCTTTTATGGCTTTATGTATTTTACATTTTTGTATCTTTAGGTTTTTAATGGATAAAGATAATTTTGCTTCTGTGAACAATGAGTCACAGGAAAACACAGAAGATTTACTCTTCCCACTGTCATATTATTACATCGAATCATCACATAATACATATCTCACAGGACATCAGCTTAAAGGAGAATCCTCAGTAGAACTTTACAGCCAGGTATAACCACTCAGTCTGTTGCCCCCTTTTTTTCCTGGAAAGATTGGTTTATTTGGAAAGTCAAAGAAGCATGACCTTTTCCTAAAAGTTCCATTTACTTGCTTGTAAAACATACGAAAACAAAATGTGTGGGAAAACTTCTTGTGTGCACAGTTGTGCTCAGATGCTTTTTTTATAATTATATATTTAAGCTTTGTTCTAAGGCAAATTGAGGGGATGGGGGTCGTTTGAGGGATGTAGCATTTACACAGTAGCCAGTGTGATCCAACCTGCTAAAATTAGACTTTCCCACAGGAAAGGCTGAGCTAATATGTTAGTTCATTTAAATGTCAAAGCACCATTCAGAATAATGTGAGTTGTGCTGAAAAGATGGTGACTTTATGACAAAATTATTACTCAGGAGAGGGTTGCTTTTAGGAATATTATATAATATTTTAGACATTCTTTCCAAGAAGTGACCCATATGAAGAAAAGTACTGCTTTCCAAAAGTTTTGTGTTGTTTCTGTGTTCAAGCTGCATGATGCTTAAAAGAGTTTACTGAAGCATCACACTTCCTGTGAATGGAAATTTTAATTGTGCCATCAGCATATAATGGGAGTGGAGAGAAGAAAGGAGGGTAATAATACAACATCAGGAATGGGTTAGAAATGGTTACAACTTTATTGGTTAAATCATTCAGCATTTTGGGAGCCAGGCTAATGGGTGTTCCTTTACCCCAGCTTGTCTGCTGAGGTAAAATGGAGGTGATAGGATTTTTTGGAGGTTCAGCATAGGGTGGACAAAACATGTGGTCCTTCCTGTGGCCAGGGGCATGCTAACTACCAAGCTGGGCTGGAACTATGAGGGATATTTAATTATGTGCATAATAGGAATGATAGAACCCCTTTTCCACCAGAAAACTGTTCGTGCTACACTTGTTTGTGGTACAGGTTCTTGGTTAATTTAATATACTTCCAGCAATATAAGGAATTGTTCCTTTGGTTGTACAGTCATCATATGATCACTGAAAGTTCTATAACACTTGGGTGGCGTCCGATAGGGATCATTCTAATGATGTAAAATATCTGCCTGGAAAATGAGAATAACTTTCAGCATTTTTTCCTCCTCCCTTGTTTTTTTTTGGGGGGGGGGCATTCTCCAAAACATAGGTGAAATTTGTAGCATTGCTAGTAGACATCATCTGTCCGTGGAGTGCTGGGGTGCAAACCATTGGCTGCAATCTCTTTATAGAAGCAATGTATTACTGCATCAGCATCATCATTATTTATTTGGTTACAGATTCTTTTACAAGGCTGTAGAAGTGTGGAATTGGACTGCTGGGATGGTGATGATGGAATGCCTGTTATTTATCATGGACATACACTCACAACTAAGATTTCTTTTAAGGTACAACTATTTTTATAGAATATCAGACTTGATGCTCACTGTATCACCCTAGGGAAAGTAAAGGGATCTCTCCAAGCTGGGAGAATGGACATCAAGATGGCAAATGCAGTTCAGTAAGTGTAGGTGCAAAATAATGAATTTCAAATATAGGCTGATGGAATCTGAGCTAGCAGTGACTGATAAAGGGAACTGTAGGGATCTTGGGATTGTAATGGACAGCTCGATGAGAAAGTTGACCTAGTGCACAGCTGCTGTGAAAAAGGCAGACTCCATGTTCGGCATAATTAGGAAGGGAACTGAAAATAGAACTGCCAGAATTATATTCTCCTTATACATATCTTTGGAGTTCCTGTAACTAATCTGCTTGAAGAATCCTGTGGCTAACTGCTTGCCTGTATGTGAAGTGCTGGACTATTGGCCTGATCCAGATTGACTCTTCTTAGTTCTTCTGACCTACAGCCAGAACAGTTGTTTCAAGGTTGTGAGATAGCCTATCGCAGTCAGGTATAGCACAACATCTCCTAGCAATATCCCAGTGCAGTTGTCAGGGACATCCTTTATACTGAGTGTGTATAATAATGGGATCAGCAGCAAGGTGACCCAACCTACTTTGTGATGTGGCACCAAAGCCAATTCAGGCCTGACAAAGGCTCCTCACTCCTGCCTTGTAGCATCAGATATCACTTAAGCTGCAACTATGCTGTGCCTTTGTAATCATCCAGACATTGCAAGCAAGTTTGATTTCCTTATTTAAAAAACAAACAAAACCTCTACATAGATTACATTTTGCCTTTGTCTGCTGTCAGCAAGCTGAAGCCAAGTTTTTTTCAATAATGCATGCGTTAGAATAGTATGTGTCCCAAATGCCATAGATGACTGATAAAACTCTGATTAATCTAATTTTGCAGGAAGTAGTTGAAGCTATTGACCGCAATGCCTTTGTCACCTCAGACATGCCAATCATCATATCAATTGAAAACCACTGTTCCTTGCCCCAGCAACGAAAAATGTCTGAAATTTTCAAGGTAGGTTGCAGAAGCACTAGCTTTGTGTGGACAATCAAATCTTGGCTTACTAAACCAGAATATTAATATGAATGAGTACTTGTGTGCAGGTTCTTTGGTTCTCATTCATTTCTCCCTTTCCACGAGTGAGGAAAAACCCCAGGAAGCAGCATGTTACCATAGACTCTTCTTACATTTGAAATACGAAAATACGGTTAATGGCTTGAAACCATGACTTGATGTCCTTGCTTTCTTGGGAAGACAACCATTGTGTCCTGGTCTTCGTGAAACAGGAGACTGTGTTTAATTGTGGCTTATTCAGCCAAGATCCAATTACCTAAACCAGGCTGATAATGCTATTCAGTCAGCAAAGCTTTAGATGTTGGTCCTTTCTTCTACCTAGTATCTTCAATTTTATTGACATTCCAGAACACATTTGGAGAAAAGCTGGTAACTAAATTTTTATTTGAGAGTGACTTTTCTGATGATCCTATGCTACCTTCTCCCCATCAACTAAGAAGAAAGGTTTTGCTTAAAAACAAAAAGCTCAAAGCTCATCAGACTCCAGTGGATATTTTAAAACAGAAGGTATGATGATTCCATATAAAATGTTTTAAGAATTATGTTATTTTGGGGGGAGAAGATAATTGCATATTTTTCATTTTAAATATTGTAGTGACTAAATATGCAGTTATTTTGAGAACTTATCCACAAAACCACATTCAGTCTTTCTTGATAATCGTGCATAAATAAAAATAAAATTACATGTTTGTATGCAATAATAAATATGGACAGATGCGTGGAACTAGATTCAACACAAAACCATGATTTTCATGCATTGAAAAGGGGGTTTGGCCTGACAGCTTTATTGGCCCTTTCAGTCTCTAGTATTAGATAATTTTGTGATTCAATGAAACCAATGTTCATTTTACCATCTGTTTTTATTGGAATTTGGACCACCAGATGTTATATAAATTGTTCAAGTTCTTTAGGAGGGTTTCCCTAAAGGCAGCTTATAAGTCTTTGCAATACATAGATAAATATTAACTTAGACAGTTGTAAATGAAGAAAAGATGGCTTTTATTAGGGAAAAGTTTGTTATCATTTCACAATCTTTTTTTTTTAACTTTTGCCCTCATCCAGAGTTTGAGTTTGAGTGGTTTACCCTTTTATCTGGTTTATCATTCCTCTTCCTCTAGAGCAGAAGTGATAAATGTATAGCTGTCAAGATGTTGTGGAACCACTAACAGTCATTGGCAAGGGATCATGGGCACTGTAGGCCAGAATTATTAAGTGTGCCACAAACTCCCCATACCTGCGGTAGAGGAAGTGTGTTCATGAGTCTCCCATGGACTAAATGTAGTGTGTATTGCTGATGTTGTACATAGAAACTGGAATAAGTTGAATTCGTGCAATTTGCTCCCCCTTCTACCAGTTTTTATTTAGTTTGCTTTTGAGGCAGGTAACCCTGTTTACTGGGCCTCTGTGTGGAGAAATAAAATCTATGTTAAATCTGTGATGGATAAGGATATGAACATGATAACTTATCATCAATTTTACTAACACATCTTGCTCCATTAAAATGAATCCTGGATTCATATTTTGACTTAGCTAGTGATTGAGTGGAAAAGAGCAATATCATGAGGAATAAGAGGTAGAGTTGAGTCCACGTTTTAGAAGAGAGAAATGTAACCAGGAAAAACCTATTGCATTGAGGGAAGGTATTTAGTCTGGTGATTAAGCTAAACAAATTCTGTGAACATACTTAAAATACAGTCTTTTGGTATTTTCTAAATGGATATTCCATTCCATGTTAAAAATGTGATTCCACAGGCTCATCAGCTGGCATACATGCAAGCTCAGGCAAGCAATGGTGGTAATTTGGGGAATCTTACCACTACTAATGAAGAAGAAGAGGATGAAGAAGATGAGTATGACTATGACTATGAATCTCTTTCTGATGGTACGTGAAAATATTTATTATAGAATTTTTGAGGCTTAAGGCATGAGCACAGTTTCAGCTGTAATGACACTTGAAACTGTTTAACCAAAAAAACCAAACCAAACATCTTTTAAAACATTTAACTATTTCTCACAGTATAATACTTGATTATTTATATTCATGTAAATAATTTGTTAATATTCTTTCTAAATGATAGGAGGAATATATGATTTATATAAAGCAGAGATGAGCAACTTGTGGCTCTCCCGATGTTGTGGCTTACAACTCCCGCACCTTTCACAACTGGCTATGCTTCCTAGGTTTTGTAGACCAAAACATAGGGAGGGCCACAAATGGATCACTGCTTGCCTATGTAAAAGTTAGGAAACTTACATTTTAAAACACTATTTGTATGTGTTTTAGGCTCACCTAAAACCTAGTTATTTATATATAGACCCTTTAATATTCAGAGTTTCTCAACAGCTTTGACCATACATAGTTCTAAAGGATTTGATTTGGCTGGATGGTTATGTAAATTATGATGATGTTAAGAATCAAGATCAATTAAGGTCATACAAATGTTTCCTATGATTAGAAAACATAGCAGTCATTCTGATTTCCATTATTGTTTAGTATAATTCTTCTGATGTTTGCACCTAAGTATATATTGTATGTGTTCTGAGTTTCTTATGACTACTGCTCCTGCTATGTGCTGTATTTTAGTAACACAAAGCAACATCTGTCCATTCCAAGGATGCTGCTGTTCAGAAAGTTTACTTAATAGCATTGATGAAAGCATTTTGTTCAGAAAGCATATTTCATACCAGACAGGAAAATACTTCACATGTCATATATGTAATGATATGAGATCACATTAGAAAGAATATGATGCACAGTGCAAAATAAAAATTATAAAAAGGTGCATTTTATTGTTTTTTAATATTATAATTTTTTTGGATTATCCAAGTTAGAGCTTTTCTGCTAATTTCATGACAATGTGTATACCCTGACACCTAGATTTACCTCTTACTTGATTACGGTCCTTCTCTGAGTTGTCAAAGTACTCACACTATAAATTAGTTCTATTCTTGGTCAACCTGGAGTTAGTTGTATGATATGTAGTTCAGCTTCTTCTCATGTTTACACTTTTAAAAGTATTTCCAATGTTACTTCTTTGTAGCAATTCTACAAATGTTTGTGTCAAGGTTATAGTTCTGTATAATCTGAATATTTTTCATTTCTCTGGCTTTATTTCTTAACTTCTTTTACTCTTATTCCTTTTCTGACTCTATTTTTCTATAGCTGATGTCCTTAATGCTTCTCCTGCTCCTAACAGCCAGGAAGGTAAAAGGCTACTTGGTCAAGCATTGTAACTGCATGCATTTCAGCACTGCATTACCAAACAACTTTGAAATGTTGTTTGTTAGTTAAACACAATTTTGCATTTCTGTTATTGTCTTAATTACTTTTGGGAATCACAGTATTTGCATGTGCCACTCTAGCTTCTTGTTTATACACTTTTGTTTTCACTGAATAGATTATCGGGTCATATTTATGAAGGTGAACTTAAAATATGCAATACATGGTTTTTTTGGATATAAATGTAGGTAAATCAATGAGAAAGTGTTTAGTAAGCACTTCCGTTTCCTGTCACACCCCTCCCCATTCCCTGCAAATAGATGCCTTATACAATCCAAGATAGAAAGTATTTACATTTATTTTCTAATTTTAAAATTAAAATAATTTAATGCAATTTTAATTTAATGTATTATTCCAAATATACTTTAAGTGGAAAATCATGTTTTATTTTGCATCTTAAAAATACATGCCTGCTGTGCTCGAAAAGGTAAGAGAGAAACTCTCATTAAAAAGAATATTACTATTGAGAGAAATGGTTTGAATAGTTATTAATAGTTTTTCATTATTCAGAACAGTATTGACTGCTTTGTCCAAAAATATTTGGTTGAAATAAAATTTGTTTCAGTCATATAATACTTACTTTGCAGATAACATTCTGGAAGACCGACCTGAGAATAAGTTAACCATTGATAAGCTTCAGTTTGAATACAGTGAAGAAACTGCTAAGAGAATAAAAAAGATGGATAGCACTGCGTACAACAGTAAAGGAAAGGTAGTATACCCTGGACTCTTTTTCCAAACATTTTTCAAACAGAGCGAGGATGGTTTGCAATTAGGATTAAATGTTCGCAAAACTAGGATTAAAAGAAAAGAGAAGCTACTCAGGCCTGTGGCCCCTTAAAGAAAAAAGAATTACTGTAGCTTGAGTTTCTGTAGGCTCAGTGTCAGTGGCATGAAGAAGATAATGTTCTATCAAATGGTTGTTTATTATATTCATACTCCATCTTGAATTTTAACTGAAAAATTAAAGGTAGATTTTTTTAAAGGGCTATTAAAATAGAAATTACAATTAAAAGAGGTCCTGACAAATAGAAAAGGTCCTGCTCCCTCTTCCTTTCCTGAATAGAGGGTAGAAATGCTATATGCATTAAAAGATAAAGGAATATATCCTAAAACAGAGGAATTATACAAGAAACAAGAAGAGGAAAAAGGTACCGTCACTGGGTCAGGAGAGAAGGGAACATCAAACCCTTGTTGCTCCATAGCCTCCTTCAGGAGGTCAAGACCACTAGGAAGTTTAGAAGTGTGTTAATTGAGGACTCAAAGGTTTGGGGCTTTAACAGTCCAGGCACACCTTAGAAAGGAAAGCAGGCATCCCTGCCTCAACATAATGAAAACCATCCTGGTTCTGTCACAGTAGCAATCTCCTCCTCCACAGCAAACAGGCCTTGCCACTGGTTACTCTTGTGGGAAAGTAAAGAGACCTCGGGAAAGGTTGTCCAAGCTGGTCTTCAGATCTTGGAAAGCCCTTTCTATTTCCTGAGACCATTTCATTTGGCAGGGCTGTCTTTCTTGATCAGATCTGTTACAGGCAAGGCTCTGGAGGAGAAATTGTATATAAACTGGTGATAATAGCTGGCTAGCCCTAAGAATGGTTGCACTTCTTTCTTGGTCTGGAGCCTTGGCCAGGTGCTTGGGGCCTCTACCTTTTCTGCCACTAGTCCTATAGTTCCTTTCCCTACTATATACCCCAGATATTAAACCTCTTGCCTAGATACCCTGCATTTTTTGGGATTGACTATCAGTCCTGCAATCCTCAGGGCTTCTAGGAACTGCTACAGGTGTTGTAGATGTTCTTTCCATGTCTAAGAATGATTATATTGCCTATGTAGGACACAGCACGATGTGATAAATGGCCTTATCCATCAGCCGTTGGAAGGCAGCAGCAGTTCCATGCAGCCCAATGGGCAGGCACTGTGAACAGGCCTTGTGAATGGCATACATTGTGAACGGGCCATTTTCCCCTTTGCTTTTAGAGTCTGAGGAATCTGCCAGTAGCCCTTAGTCAGATCTAATGTCGTTACAAAAGTAGCCTGACCCAATTGCTCCAGTAGCCCCTCTATCTAGGGCATAGGGGATGCTTAGAGATTGAGTTGACCTTCCTAAAATCAATCCAAAAACAAATATTCCCATCTGGCTTCATTACCAACACCAGTTGACTCCTTCAGGGGCTTAGCAACTCCTCAATCACCCAGCTGAGACATCTTCTTAATCTCCTCTGTTACCACTTTATGGGGATATGGAACTCACATGAATGAACCTGAGGCCATCTCCTGGACACATCCATGGCTGAATACATTCATCTGCTGCCATCACATCTAGTTGTATCCAAGGAAGTGTATTTTATATGACAGTTTGACTTACATATAAAAAAGCCCCATGAAATCCAGTAGAACCTATTTCTGAGTAGATGTACATAAGAGGCTGGTGTTAATTTATATTAAATATTTGGTACTCAGTTAACATTATTGTTTCTTGTGTACCAAGTTTTTCTTGTTCCATATCTCAATCAGTTGAAATCAATGATGAATATGGCAATATATGTCGAGATGTAGATGAGATACTCTGTCACTTGAATTCTCCCTTAATTAATTACCAGAATTTAAAGTCATGCTTTGATTAAGGATGAACAAATCTGATGTTTCAGTTTCTACACCTTTGAATTTTGTAAAACAAAACTTTTTTTCATACTATTCTGTTTTTAAAAACTCCACAAATTCATCTTAATTTTTTTACACATTTCTCCTAATATATGCATTTTGAATGTATTAGGAAAAATTCATTAAAATTCATAGGCTGGGAGCAATTTTTATGAAATGCAACCACTTTTATGTATATTTCCTAATGCATTTTTGAATGCATGTTTTATTTAAGGAACAGCTTTGCAAAATTTGAAGAAGTGGAAAACTGAAGGATAATTTGGGAAATGCAGTTTAGCTAAGCAAAACGTGAATTTGTTAAGGTAACAAAGTTAGGGATGGGGGAGAAGTTAGTATGTTTGCACTTTAATATGAAACTGTGTTTTGTATACATGTATTTATTTATAACTGTGAAGCTGTCCAGGAGGATTACAACATTACCTAAGATACAGTAAGAATACATATAAAACACAAATAACAGTAATATATCATAGAAATTATACTGCAAGATTAAAAAAACAGATTTAAAACTAAATTTAATAACTACAATAAGTAACAAATTAAAACCTAAAATTTGTTACACAGCTGACATAACACTCAAACTTAGGGCTGATCAAATGCCTTTCACAGAGGATAAGTCTTGCCCTGGTGCCAGAAGGGCAGTAGAGCCGGCACCATAAGTACTCCATTATTGGAGGGTACAACTGAGAAAATTATGGCACGGAGAGGCATTCCATCAACTATTGCAGTCTCAAGCCATGAAGGGCTTTATAGGACAAAATCAGTGCCTTGAACAGAAATGTATTGGCAATCACGCAGTTGGACCCAGGTTGGTATCATGTACATGGACCTGGTTCCAGATAGTCATCCGATTACTGCATTTTGCACAACTTACAGCTTTTGAAGAGTCTTTAAGGGCAGCTCCATGTGCAGTGCATTACAGTAGTTTAATCTAGTGATTACTAGAGCATAGATTATGGAAACCAGGATATCACTATCCAAATAGGGGTGTGCCTGGGTCACCAGACAAAGCTGTAGAAGGCATTTGTGAGCAGCTGAGGCCACCTGAGTCTCAAGCAACAAAGACAGCTCAAGGGGGACTCTTAGGCTATAATCTGCTCTTTCAAGTTGCCTACAATCTGATACAGAACAGGCTGAACACTATCTGGTCAGAGTAATCATACACCAACAGCATTTTAGTCTTTTTTGGCTTAAGCCCCAGTTGGTTAGCCTTCATCCAGTCCATTGTCTCAGCCAGGCACTAGTTTAGTATATCTATACATAACTGAAGGGAAAAAGAAGAAATAGAGCTGTGTTGTCAGGATGCTGATGACAATGCACTTCAAAACTCCAGATGAAACCCCACTTGGTGATTTTATGTAGCTATTAAATAGCGCAGAGGACAAACCAATCCCTGAGGGAAATCCAAGAAGCTGAGTAGTATCCTCCAAGCAACACTTTCTGGAATCATCCATCTAAGCAGTCAAATCAGTGCAGTGCAATGGGAGTACCCCCTCTCCCATTCCCAATTCAGATAGATGTCTTGGAAGGATACCAGAGTTTATGACAGTAAAGCTAGTGAGACATTCAGGAGTAGCAACAGAGTCACATTTCCCTATCATACATCCAGTTACCAAGTCAACTTTTTTTTTTTGGTTGGCATTTTTTTCAATCTCATTTTTTTGTTTGTTTAGTATTTCAATTGATTCACCCTGCTCTCTTAATTCTTGTGCATCCTGGTTGCTCCAAAAATCTATAGATGGGAGTTGAATCTGGGTCCAGGAAGTTGTTATTGCCTCTTTAAGAGATGGAGTGGTGTCAGTCACTTTAAAAACTGTGGTGATGGTACCACTGCTAAAGAAACCTACCCTGGACCCAGTCAATGTGAGTAATTATAACCAATTGCAAACATCCCCTATTTAGGCAAACTGATTGAGCAGGTGGTGGCTGAAGAGCTTCACACTCTCCTGAAGGAAGTAGATTATCTAGATCCATTTCAGTCATGCTTAAGGCCTGCTTTTGGAATGGAGACTGCCTTGGTCACCCTTTGAGGTGATCTCTGATAGGAGAGAAATGGAGAAGCACGCCCCTGTTGATTCTCTTGGATCTCTCAGCAGCTTTGGATACTATCAACCATGATATCTTTCTGGAGAAGTTGGCTGGTTGGCTTCTGGAGCTGGTGGCTGTGCTCTGCAGTGTCTCTACTTGTATCTGGACGACTATCTCCAGATGGTGGAGCGGAGCCTTTGCTCCAAGGCCTTTTGCTAGGGAGTCCTGCAGGTCTCTATTTTGTCCTTCATGCTTTTTAATATCTACATGAAACCACTGGGAGAGGTCATAAGGAGATGTGGGCTGAAGTGTCATCAGTATCCTGATGTTCTCAGCTCTACCTTTCAATTTCATCAAATCAAGGTGAGGCAGCCTCTGTTCTTGACTGATGCTTGAGCTCGGTAATGGGCTGGATGTGAGCCAATAAGCTGAAACTTAATCCATACAAGATGGAGGTCCTGTTTGTGGGAAGTCCAGCTTGTCCAAATGGGGTATTTTCAACCTGGTCTGGATGAGGTTGCACTCCCCCTAAAGAACAAGGTTCACAGCCTTGGAGTGGTTGTTACCAGGTGGACTCAGTAGCCAGGAGTGCTTTCTACCAACTTTGGCTGGTATTGTAGCTGCATCCTTCCTTGGGCCAGTGGAACCTTGCTACAGTCAGCCATGTTCTGGTAACCCTTTGCCTCGATTACTGCAATGTGCTCTACATGAGACTGCCCTAGAAAATGGTCCAAATATTTCAACTTGTTCAAAATGGGGCAGTGTACCTGCTGACACTTTGAACTCTTGTGCCCTTTCTTTCTGTCATTATTAAAAAGCAAAAAATAAAGTGATTTGTATAGAGAAAATTACAGAACTATTTCCATTGTATGTAGTTCTGAACAGTATATCTCCTTAGTGCATGATATAAAAAAGTGACAATATCTGCTGGGTATTCAGTTGCAGTATTTACAGTACACTTAGTGTGATATTTTGCCATGTCAGTGACCTCTGTCATAAGAACTTTTTTGATGCAATTATAAAGAATGATGGACTGGCAGAATCTTTTTCAGAGGAGCATTATTATAGTTCTGCATTTCTTCTGCCTCAATAAGCTCCCCATGTAAGCCAAGTAACTTTGTGCTGGTGTGTTCTGTTTTCCATGAACATGCTGCAGTAGCTGTGATTTTTTTTTTATATGGGTCATATGAGTGTAGAGGAATGTGTCAGATGGAATTAATAGCTTTCAAATTAATGTTTATGTATTTAATTTATTTGTGATATTTATGTGTCATTCTATTGCAAAGGCCTCAGGATGGTTTACATAATAAAATACAAATATCAATATAAATTATAACAATGTCAATATAAAAAATCAACATAATAGCATAAAGGAGTCCTACCAATTCGCCTCCCTCAAAAAATGAGCCGTTATGTTCGTTTCAGGGCTTTTCCTAGGAACTGTTAAATATCTCCTGTGTAAGCAGTGGATCCTTCTTGTGTAGTGATTCATGTGAATCCAGAAGACAATCAGCAGGGGGCATACAATGTAAAAGGAGCATATAATTTACATTGGAGACATTATGTCATGTGAAGAGGGCAGTGAGGAGAATTTTAGTGAAAGTGTAGAATTAGGGAGCTTGTCTGTGTCCTGTTACCCTGTTCCTATTCCTTTACCCTCTGGTTGCTGAGAGGGTAAAGGCAATGGTATTCTTAATCTTTCACTGTTAGTCTGTGGGATGTATAGATTTCAGGAGGAAATGTTACAGTGTGCTTTTAATTATTCATTGTAATAAGCTGCAGTATGAGTAGATAAGTATGGTAAAATCCTTTTTTATTCTTTGAACTGATATATAGGTTTATGACATGGAATTAGGTGAAGAATTTTATCTTTCTCAAAATAAAAAAGAAAGTAGACAAATAGCACCAGAGTTGTCAGACCTTGTCATCTACTGTCAAGCTGTAAAATTTCCTGGTATGTACATTGTCTTAGTTTCTTGTGATTATTCTGTAGTTTGATATATATGTGCTAACCTCCTACTGAATGTCAGTTGGGAACAAGTTTTGTGTAAGTGCTTCCCCCAAGAGAGTTGTCATGCCAGGCATACATAAATAAGAATTCCTGCTTTGTGGGAAATTAGGCAAGTCAAATTATTTTCTCAAGAGTAAGTCCTTACTTGTATCCTTATGTGCCAGAAATACTCTTTCCAGACATACATTTCAACATTTCC